AGCTCAGATTTGTATGCTCTTTGACAATCCTGAGAAGTCTTTGGTAGATTTTTTTCGTTCCGATCTTTTGCATTTTTACCTGTTTCTTCTTGCTGTTAGCGATTCAGGTCCCATCAGGACGCTGGGACACGGGGAGGCCGCTGTGCCTGGCTCCCAGCCTGCAGAGCAGCAGGTGCCCGGGGTCTGCCCTGGGCACGCGCCTCCTCTGGGGAGATCGCCCCGACAGCCCAAAGTCCCTGCACGCCCAGTCTTGCCGACCACTCGGACCCGCCGGCCTCTTCGGCCCTCTCCCCACCCCGCCCCGCTCCTCGAGGTGGCGGGGCTCCAGCGGAGGAGCCCCCTCTCTGCAGCTGCCGCGCGTTCGCTGTGGGGACCAGGCAGCGGCGCTGCCGGGCCAGCCAGGATCCTGCGCTCGAGCGCATCCTCCCGCCCACGGCTAGAGGCCACAAAGCCTGAAACTCAAAAGCGTTTTTTTTTTTTATCTTAAATTTCAAATGCTCTTATTTTGTTGTCAATGTGTGGGAATTCTTTGAGGATCTGTGTAGAAGTAGGATTTCTCCGGAAAGGATTTGCATTTGCCTCTGTCAAATTCCTGGGGATACCGTCAACCTGGGACCTTTTAATTTCTCAACTTGAGGTTTCTCGGACCGCGAGTAGCTCGAATTTGAGCTGCTGGATCCCTGGGAAGGGCAGCCTGCATTCCAGCTTCTCAGCGCCAGTGCCAAGATTTGAGGCGGGGAATTTTCTGTCCCCTGAGGCAGTACGAGATTTGTTTACTTCAAATTCATTTTTAGTTCACCCTTCCCGCCAGAGGTCTTTAATTCAACTCCCCTCCTTTAGCGGCCCATAGACTTTGTTTCTTGTCCTACTGCACTGCGAGGTCATGAAAATGAAGCTCAAGGTTACCAAGTTTCGAACAAGGTCGGCAAAAGGGAATTTCAGCAACCCTCTTATCTGTTTGGATTTCTGCTTTCACATATTTTTGGGATTTCTCAATATTCTTCACGTTCTTCTTAGTTCAAGGCAGTTTAAAAGGCTTTTAGTTTTATTTTTTGTTGTTTTTGTTTTAATGTTATCCATCATTATGAGTTGTGTTCAGCGTATTTAGTGCACCATACTGCCAGAAACAGATAGCTGGCTCTTATTATTGGTCATAAGCCATAGTTCGCTGGCTCTCACTCCATTCACTCCTGTATGAACCCAATCCTTTGGTTAGTGCCTCCCCAGGTATTTCCAGACATCCCTTCAGGTGGAAGAGGGGATCTTACCTGTCCTTATAGCCAAGCTGATCAGCTCCAGGAGGTCTCCTTTTCCCCCTTCCACCCTCCCTCCACAACCACCAGGTTCTGCCATCTGCAGGTGGCGTCACCATCTCCTGCAGTCCCTGCACTCTTGTGGTTCCCCCCCTGCTCTTGGAGAAGCGGGAAGGGAATCTCTCTTGCTCTTCTTGCGCTCTGATCAAGAGAGGACCAGAACAGTGCTGCTTATAACCCTTTTTGAGGAGATTTTGGTTAAACTACTCCTTTCATATTGGCGTTTTTTGTGAAAAATTGAAATTTACATAAAAGTTGCAGTGGTACTAAGAACCTTTTCTTTTTCTGAACCTTTCAATAGTAGTCGCTGACACGCTGCCTCATCAACCGTGTGTCTATTTTTTACCAACAAGGACGTTCTCCTACATAACCACAATTAACCATCAAAATCAGAAAAATAACATTGATACATTACTACCATCCGATCCTGAGACCCCATTCTAGTTTTACTAATCGTCCTAATAGCGTCTTTTGTGGCTCAAGGATCCAATTCAGGATCACTGGTTGCATTTGGTTGTCCTGCCTCATTAGTCTGCACTTTGGAACAGTTCTTCGTTTTTCCTTGATCTTGACTTTGACGCTTTTGAAGATTACAGGTCGATTATTTTTAATGTCTTCAATATGGGTTTGTTTGATGTTTCCTCACGATTAGGTTTCGACTATGCATCTTTGGCAAGAACACCACAGCAGTGATGCTATGTGGTCTCGGGGCATCCTGTTAGGAGGCTCACAATTTGGATTTGTTTCGTTATGGTGGGTCAATTGATTAAGATGTTTCTGCCAAGTTTTTCTACTGGAAAGTTACTATTTTTCCGTTTGTAATTAATAAGTATTTTGTGGTTAGGTGCTTTGATACCATGTAAATGTTCCATTACTCCTCCACTTTTACCCACTAGTTTTGAGGTTTTGTGGTTGAATTAATTATTACTATGATAGTTGCCAAATGGTGATTTTTCTAATTCAACATTTAGGAAAAGCATTCTCTTCTCCCCATCTATTTATTCGTTCATTTATTTATTTATTTTTTAAAGATTGGCACGTGAGCTAACAACTGTTGCCAATCTTCTTCTTTTTTTCCCCCTACTTTTTTCTCCCCAAATCCCCCCAGTCCATAGTTGTATATTTTAGTTGTGGGTCCTTCTAGTTGTGGCATGTGGGACACCGCCTCAGCGTGGCCTGATGAGAGGTGCCATGTCCGCACCCAGGATGCGAACCGGCGGAACCCTGGGCCGCGGAAGCGAGCCCGCGAACTTAACCACTCGTCTGCAGGGCCGGCCCCTATTTGTTTATCTCAATATGGACACCTGGATTTTTATTTTATTAATGGAGACATAATCAGTTACTATCATTATTTATTTTGATATTCAAATTGTCCCAAATCTGGCCAGTGGGAGCTCTTCAAGCTTGTTCTGTGCCTTTTTTAATGCATTTTTTATAGTGATAAAAAACACGTAACATAAAAATTACCATTTTAATCATTTTTAAGTATACAGTTTGGTAGTGTTAAGTATATTCAAGTTATTGTGAAGTAGATCACCAGAACTTTTTCATCCTGCAAAACTGAAGTCTATACCCATTAAATAACAACACCCATTTCCCCTCCCTCCATCCCCTGGAAACCACTATTCTACCTTCTATTTCTGTGAATTGGACTACTTTAGATACCTCATATAAATAGAATCAAACAGTTGTCTTTTAATGATTGGCTTATTTCATTTAGCTTAATGTCATCAAAGTTCTCCATGTTGTAGCATGTGACGAGATTTCCTTCCTTTTTAAAGCTGAATAGTATTCCAGGGTACGTGTGTATCGCATTTTGTTTACCCATTCATCCATTGGTGGACATCCATTGGTGGTCATTTGGGTTGCTTCCACCTGTTGGGTCTTGTGAAGAATGCCACTATGAACACCAGTGTGCAAATATATCTTTGAGACCCTGCTTTCAATTCTTTTGAGTATATGCCCAGGCGTAAAATTGCTGGATCATATGATAATTCTATTTTTAATTTTTTTTTTTTTTTGAGGAAGAGTAGCCCTGAGCTAACATCTGCTGCCAATCCTGCTCTTTTTGCTGAGGAAGACTGGCCCTGAACTAACATCCATGCCCATCTTCCTCCACTTTATATGTGGGACACCTGCCACAGCATGGCTTGCCAAGTGGTGCCATGTCCTCACCTGGGATCCGAACCAGCAAACCCCAGGCCGCCGAAGTGGAACGTGCACACTTAACTGCTGTGCCACTGGGCCGGCCCCCTATTTTTAATTTTTTGAGGAGCCTACATACTGTTTGCCATAGTGGTTATAGCATTTTACAATACATTCCCACCAACAGTGCACGAGTTCCAATTTTTCCATACCCTTCTCAATACTTGCTATTATTATTATTATTATTTTGTATAGTAGACATTGTAATGGGTGTGAAGTGAGTCTATATTCTTTTTGTAAAAAAATTATTTTCTTGAGGTCATATTGGTTTACAACATTGTGTAAATTTCAGGTGCACATTATTATATTTCAGCGTCTGTGTAAACTACATCATGTTCACCACAATAGTCTAGTTTTTATCCATCACTGTCCATGTGTGCTCCTGCACCCCCTTTCCCTCTCCCGACTCCCTCCCCCTCTGGTAACCACCGATCTGTTTTCCTTGTCTATGTGTTTGTTCGAGTCTATATTCTTTTGAACATCTCCATCATTCTTTGAGCACTTCTTTAGTTTTTGGCACGTGGGTTGTTCCAGGATCACTTTGCACTTTCCCTGCCCTTGCCCTGGATTCAACCACTCCTCTAGGGAGCCCTGGTTCCTTTTAGTGGAGATAGTATTTAGAAACCAAAGTCTTGGCACCTTTCAGATTAGTTTTACTTGTGGCACTTCTGCTCTCAGGCCTTAGACGTGATTCCAGTAAGGCTGGGGTGACAGACACCTCCTCAGCCACAGCCCCTCCTCCAAACTAAGGATTCATTTCTAGAGCAAGCCACCTGCTCCTGAACCCAGGAGGGCTCCTCACTTCTCCATGGCCTGCTCTCCCAGCTCCCCGGAGAGACACTGACCGAGCTGATCCTCCCCAGTGAATGCACCCTCAGGCTCAATTTGGGATTCCCACTGTAGGAAACATCTCCACACATTTGGGAAAAAGTATTGGAACCTGGTATTTAGTTATTTTAAGGTTGCTTTTGAGAGGCAGGACTGAAAAAATATATGCTCAAGCACAACTTAGTATGCTTAGTATCTAGTTTGGCTAAAAGCATACATTTGCCTCTAGTGATGCAGTTCAATAGAAAGACCATAACTTCGAACATAGCCGGAACTGGATTCGAATCCTTGCACTGCTCAGATAAGCCCTGTGACCCGGCAAGCATCTGTTTCTTTGTCTGTAGAATGAAGATAATAATACTCACCTTGCAGAATTTTTTAGTGGATCGGAGACATATCAAGAGATGAGGATGCTGTCTGGCATATAGTGGGCAGCACATACGTCTCTAATGTCGTAGCATTTCATCAGTGCTGGGGTCAGCAGCTTCACTCATGCAGTCTTTTGGAATCCAGCGGACTTTGCCCACGAAAGTTGGCTAGTACACGCTGTTGGGTCAAGTGCCCACCTAATTACAAGTGATTTGTGGGCTTCAAAACTGTTTTTGTTCATTAGCAATGTATATCCACTTAAAAAATATTATTTCTTCCTTCCAGTGAACCCACAACGTTTCAGAAATACCACCAAGTGAGTCTACTTGCAAGATTTAACCAAGATCTGGATGAAGTGGCAGACATTTCCTTGGTGTTCTCTACAGGATCTGTAATAGGCCCGAAGTACAAGCTCAGAATTCTCCGAATGAAGTTAAGGTCACTTGCCCATCCAGAGAGGTGAGCTGTAAGGCAGGGTTTGACAAGCCCCTGTTTTCCAAAGACGTTATTCGTTCTTGTCCAATCTGCTTGGTCTGATGTTTCAACAAGACTTCATCAATCACAGCGAAGGAAGAGAAGTGTTTTCCAAAAATAGACTTGATAAAAACAAGTAGCCCAGTCATCCAAGAAAATTTTACTGGTGTGTACTTAAAGATAAATGGCCCGGAGCCAGCCCTGATGGGCTAGTGGTTGCAGTTTGGCACTCACCACTTTGGTGGCCCGGGTTCACTTCCCGGTTGAGAACCACACCACTCCTCTGTCAGTTACCGTGCTGTGGTGGTGGTGGTGGTCACATAGAAGAATTAGAAGGACCTACAACTAGATATACACAACCATGTACTGGGGCTTTGGGGAGGAAAAAACAAGTGATAAATGACCCAATAATCCAAAGAAATAATGTTGTTATATGCTTAGACATATAATTCCTCTCTAACCACTCACCCACACTGCTTGCAAGTTGGTATTTTTTTTTTTTTATTGAGGTAACATTGGTTTATAACATTTATAAATTTCAGGCTTACATCATTATATTTCAACTTCTTTATAGACTACATCATGTTCAACATCAAAAGTCTAGTTTCCATCCACACAAGTTGATAATTTGTTGTAGAAAAGAAAACCTCATATAATTTGGCAAACTGATAAAACAGCTTAGTATAAAAAAGGGTACAGAAAAATTGGAATATTTTATTTCATTGATACAGTATAAAAGTACTATATCAATATTAAATTTGATAACTGCGCTGAGAATTTCCTTCTTAGGAAATACACACTGAAGTATTAAGGGGTAAATAATCTATTCTCAATTGGTTTAGAAAAAATAAACGACAATGTGTGTGTATGTGTAGAGAGGGAGGCAGAGACAAAGAGGGGGAGAAAGAACAAAGCTGTGATGGTCTGTATGTTTGTGACTAGCACCCCTTCAGCATCTGGTCCTAGCATCCAGTCTATGGATGGAGAGAGACGAGGAATGATGTGAGCAGTTGGTACTTTATAAATTGCTTTTTCCTGAAAGTTTAGGGTTCCCTAGAACATTTAATAATGCAAGTTTCTTCTGAGAGGATATTCATTACATCTTAAAACTGTGGGACTTTTTAATACTTTTTTTCCTGATTGTCCCAGGAAGACATGTTCATTTTATAAAATCTGGAAAGTACAGAAAGTGTGAAGAAGCAGAAAAATCTCTCCCATCATGACATTATTCAGAGGCAACCACTGTTAATATTTTTGGTTATTTCTTTCTAAATGTCTTTCTATTATGATTTTTAAGCCTAGTTGAAGTTATGTAGTAAATAAAATTTTACATCCTGCTTTCTTGTTGCTGTTAATATTGCTTTGCTTATTTACCATAAGAATTTTCCTATAACGTTAGAAATAATTGCTACATAATTTTATATCCTAAGGCTATAGTGCAACTTACTTTACTAGAATGGGGTATTTTTATTGACAAGGGTATTTTGTCTTATTTTTATAGGCCCCAGCTGTGTCGGTATGATCTTGTGCTGATGGAAAACATTGAAACAGTCTTCAAACCTATTCTTTGCCCCAAGTTGCAAATGTAACTGTTGTCAGGACACGTGGGCACCGGTAACATCAAGAAAGCTACAACTACAGGCTTTTTAAAAGCTTCACCTAGCCTTTTCCTCAAGGCACAAAAAGTATGGAATAACCAGCGTTTTTCCATTAGTTGTCCTCTGGATGTCACATTGCAAAATGTCAAACGATCTTGGATTATAAAACAGTCTGGGGAAGGGAGCCCCTAAGTAGGGCAAGTCAGAAATAGCCAGGCTCCCGACAGCTCAGTGCCTTGTCTGGCTGTGTCCTGGGGCCTCCTTTGTTCCAACCTGTCAATTCTGCTGTCTGTCACTCCGGCAATTCTGCCCATGATGGCGGTCAGTCAGCGTCCTACAGGGAAGGGCTGACTGGAGACTTCACTTTGGACTCGACTCCACCTTCCTTGTGCCAAATTCCTCCAGGTCCCGCATGTAGAAAGGCATGGAAACCGACCTACCTCACAGGGCTATTGTGTGGGTTTGGGAGGCAAGTGTGTGGAGGGCTATTTGAAACCCCATGGGTGCCACATCCGTGAGTGGTTTGATAAATGTGAATATGCTTTTATTTATTTTGATATGGTTTATCTAAGATGCAATAAGAGAGCTTCTCCTAATCAACATCAGCTTTTCTCTTGGGCTGTTTGCTCTGGGATGGCAGGAAAGCCTTAGCCCTGGCTTCTCACCTTTTCTAAATTGGGGTTGGTGTAGGAGGAGGTGGGGACAGCAAAGAGGGCAGCTGCTGGGACTAGATAGTGAGAGGAGGAAGGAAGACGGGCAGGGGAAGCAGTGGGCCAGCCTCGCTCACAGTGACCAGGGATGGAGAGAGAGGCAGGCGAGAGCAGGCAGAGCTCGTTTTTCACTTAAGGTAAAGAAGGATCACTTTATAGGCAATCTTCATTTTAAGCAATTCTTAACAAATGTTTCTTTTTCCTTATTACTAATGCAATCCATGATTATTGAAGGAAATTTAGAAAATGCATAGATGCAAAGTGAAAACGTGCTATCCATAATCCCACGTGTTAGAGGTAATTAACGTTAACTTTTGGAGTAATGTTAGCTTGTTTTGTTAACATGGGAATTCAAAGCATGAACCGGTTTGCCTGTTGGAGCATCTGAAGCCTTCAGTCTGAGGAATTCTTAGGCTTCTCCAGGGGTAGGTGTGATCTGTGAATCTGGAATGACAACAGCAGCCAAGTCAAGAGGCCCCAGAGGGCCAAGGCCAGAGATGTCAGAACCAAGAGACGATGGTCCCTGTGGTCAGATGCCCAGTACAGTGACAGAGCCAGAGGGGTGGACACCACCCATCCCATAACTGCGGCCACTGAGGAAAGGTTCCTGGGATTCCTGAGTGTCACAAGTCCCACTCGTAACTTCCTCCTCATCCAAATGACGGTTCTTCTACTGTTTCCTGTGAGAGCAGCCTTTATTTTAAAGAAGTGGACTCTCTATTTCATAAATTATAGAACTCTGTAAATATATTCCTGTGTGGCACATCTTACAGATTTATATAGGTAGCAAATATGGAGTCTATTTCACTTAAGTGAGTAATGCCTGCAGTGAATGGCTGAACTCTGACAGCAGTAATGCTCAGTGATGCTCCTGCCCACTCGGACATCTTATCAACCTTCCTCCTGCCCATGTTTGCTCAGCAATTGTGGGCAGAGAGATCAGTGTGCTGATAAGCCCTGATTTCTTTGTAGCGTTTTACTGGTCCTGTATTTTGATTAGCACGGTCACTTCTTTGTCCTCTTTGCCTTGCCTGGTAAGCAGGGGGTCAAAACAACAGCAAGAAAATGCCAAGAATAGAATTTCTATCAATTTAGAAACTTCTTGGCCCAGTGGATCTCTCTTAGCTTCTTCTCCTAGTGTCTCATGGCACATTACCTGGCTCGCTGTGGAATGGGTGGATGGATGAACAAATGGATGAATGAATGGATAAATGGATGAGTAAAGGAAGGAAGGAAATTTGTTCACTGGAGTGGAAGTGAATTTCAATGAGTTTCATATAACAGTGATCGGGAGAAATGAAGACAGTTACAAGTGTGGTCCCTCTCTTCTCAGAGTCTTTCTCCCAAGGCCCCTGGAACCTTTCACTGTCTCTTGTTATCTCTGCCTCTCTCCCCTTCTCTTGGTCAGTGTATCTGTCTGAATCCCAAATCCAATTAAATTGCAGCCTACCCTCTTCCCTCCCGTCTTCACCAATTATCTCCTGCTTAGCTTGATTGTCACTTCAGGGAAGTCTTCTTGGACCTCATTTCTCCACGTAGCACACCGTACCTCTCCTTTTTAGCACTTTTTAAGTTGTATTTTAAAAATATTTATTTGTGTGATTATTTGATTAATGTCTGTCTTTCCACTACTGCTCTGCAAGGCAGGGGGTGCGTGCCTAGTGAGGTACCTACAATATAGTCTGTGCTCAGGAAATATTTATTAAATAAACACTGTCTTGTGAGCCCTGTGGAACCATGTTTGGTTGTGAGTAAAGACCTCCCCTCTACGCCCAGCCACAGTCCATTTCCATGGAGGCACCCACCATCTCTGCCTTAGACTTCTCTCCCAGGCGCCTTTGTTATTATGTCTCTGGAGGCCCACTGGCCATTTCCCAGGACCCCCTAGGAAGAAGAGAGGTTGGCTCTTTTTCTTACTCCTCATCACACCTTACACATGGCCCCAACACCATTCTTCAGCAAGCCCACCTATCCTGAAGCCTAGGAGATTTTGCTTTCCCTGACTCCCCTGTTTTAGCACCTTGGCTAAAACCCTCCAGGACCCTCCAGCATTACTAGATGACGCCAAGCTGTGGGTTCAAAGTCCCCCTTGCTTGCTTTTCCATGGCTCCCTTCTACCACCCACTTTGCCACTGACTTTGTACGTGTTTCCATCACTGCTTTTATTACGCCGTATTGTAGTATGTTTCTACGTCTGTATCCCCTCCGAGACTGTGAGTGCCACAAGAGCAGCACTGATTTGTCTTTGCTGCCCCAGGACCTAGCACAATCAGGCCCAAAGCGGGTGCCCAATAAATGTCTGTTGAACAGAATGGAGTGGACTCATCCTTAGGGACTTGAGGGAGTCACCTCCACTCTGATTTAGACATCAACACACAACTGTATTATTTCCAAAACTTAAACTTAGAACTTCCCACCATAGGACCTCTGCCCCATGCTCTCATTCCTGCAAAACCCTATCTTAGCCAAGAGACTTTGGATGCCAGCAACAGAAATCCACTCATACTAACCCAAATTTTATTAAGAGAGGACTTGTGGAAACCCAGGAAGAGCTGAACCATCAGACCTCAGGAAGGGCAGGATGGGGGCAGCCCTGGAAGCTTCAGTAACAAGAGTTTATGGGCCTTTATTAACCTTCATGCTCTGCCAAGAGTCTCTCTGACTCAGCTTGACTCCCTCCACAGGGCAACTGTGAACCACTTGGGTCCTTGAGACCATGGGGTCCTCGGCCACTCACTCACTAGGTGGCCCAATTCTAAAGTCCAGGGAGAGGAACTAGCCCTTGGCTCCTCCTCTTGGGGAGGGTGTCCATCCTGTTCCAATGAGTTATGGATGAAGTGGGGATGGGGAAGCAAAATTCTGTGGTCTCTTCAGAGCTACTCCCTTCAATTGCTCTGTGCAGCTCTGATTAAGCCAGAATAGGAGGTTGAGTGCTAGTGACACAGAGCCCGGGTGCGGGCCTGGCTAACTTACTCTCACTGGAACCTCTTGCCTTTTCCCCCCTCCAACTTCCCTGAGCCATTGGTGCCCATCTGCTTCCCAGTCCAGCATGTGTCCCTGGTGGGGTCCTGCAGCTGTCCTTTTTCAGGCTGCTTGGGCATGTGCTGTAAATGAATGGCCTCAGTGGAGGCTGCTGCAGCTTGCAGGCGGTGCACTGGCTGGTTAGAGGTGGCTCTGCAGGTGCTGGATTGGGAGCCAGGAGGATTGGGGAGACAGACCAGCATGGAGGTGAGCTGGAAGTGGGCAACACAGTCTGGGGCTTCTCCCCTAAGCAGACAGATCGAGCAAGAGGAAGCAGAACAGGAGTCTAGGTGGGTAAGTCAGGGGCAGCAAGCAGAGGCTTGGGCAGTGAGCCTGTAGGAAATTAGGTCTGCATCTCCCAGTAGAGCTCTGTCAAAGGTCCCCCACCACCTCATGCTGGCTGAAGCCCACAACCCCTCTGGTCTCCCTGCTGGATTTTTCCAGGGCCTCTGACACTGTGCACTGGGCCCTTTTGTAACACTCTTTCTTGGGCTTTCAGGACACCCAACCCCCCACCTCTCCCCTGCAATCCCCCGAAACATTGGATGTTTCTCATCCAACATCCTTGAATGAGCCATCGTGTTCTCTTCCACAGGCTTATGATTCAGTCTTCTCTCTGAAAAAGCTAGCATAGGGTAAGAGATTGGGCTCTGCTGTTTGCTGGTGTGTGACCTCTGTCAACGTACTTAACTCTTCCTAAGCTTCCATTCTCTGGACTGTGCAGTGGGGGCTGTAAGAGTCCCTGCTTCTTGAGGGTTGTTACAGGGAATAAATACATGCACGTGTGTGAAACGCTCACTGTGGGGTCTGGAGTGTAGTAAGTAGTCAATGAATGTCAGATGCTGTTACCGTCCCTCTCACGGTCTCCCTAAGAGACTCCCCTCCCCTCATTTCAGCTTTCCTCTAGACAGGTGACCTCCAAATCTGAATGTTCAGTCGGCGTTCCAGATTTTCACCTGCTTGTTGAGAGGCAGTGCGGGGCTGAGGAAAGAGCCTGGGCTCAGGAGGGGCTGATAAGGACTTGAGTCCTGTTCGGTACTCACATCCATGGACTTCACAGCACTCACAAAGTGACTTCATCTGAACATCTGCTCACCCTCATCCATGAGAAGGATAATGATACCTGCTGCTCTGGAGTTGAATGAACTTTGCCATGTCTGTTTCCTCCATGGCACTTACCGTGCTCTATAATTATAACTCTCTCCATGCTCTCTCCCAACCAGAGGAAGAGGAAAGTCCTTGAGAGTAAGAGACTTGCCTTCTTGCCCACTCCTCTGTTCCTTGCCCCAGCACACTCCTGGCACAGGCTCAATGACATTAGTCTTTCATTCACTTTCTCTCCTCTATTCCATTGACTTCTCAAAATCAACATGTACCAAACCAAACAAATCTTCATTTCCTTGCTTGACCTGACCCATTAATTTAATAAACATTTATTAAGTGCCAAATATAAGCCAAGCACAGGGCTAAGGGCTGGGACAGACAAAAGATAGATGAGACATTGTTTCATTTATGGAAATGTTCACTCTCTACTAAGGAGACAGATAATGACCCTGGAGCATAGTATTAGCAATAATAGGGATACAGACACTTCAAAGGGAGCCCCAAGCACAGAGAAGGAACAACCTTTCCAACTGTAGGAGCTGGCAAAGACTTCTCAGAGGAGGTGACAATTGCCCTGGGTGTTGATTAAAGAGTGGGAATGTTCAGGCAGAGAACATTGCCAGATGGAGGGTAGAGTGTCGGCAGGGGCATGAACGAACATGGTGCATGTTCAGCTGTTACGGAGGGTTTGAAGGGAGGAAGTGAGCATGAAGAGCTGAGACCATTTTCCCACATTTTTTAAAATGGAAAATTTCAGATACATACAGAAATAGAGAAAATGGTAGAAAATCCACCTCCATGTGCCCATCATCCAGCTTCAACAATGATCAATTCAATGGCCAATCTTGTTTTATTTATATCCCTACCCACTAGATTCCCGTCCCACTATTCTGATACAAACCTGAGACATTGAATCATTTTTCATAAATACTTCAATATTTTGAAAAGATTAGATATACCTTTTTTTCTTCTTACAAATGAGTCATAGTATACTCTAACTCCGCAACTTGTTTGATTTTCATCCCAGCCATCTATCTGGCGCCTGCACTGTATCGGGATATAAAGAGTTGCTTCCCTCTTTTAGGAAGCTACTGAGTGTTCCATTTGTGAATATACCAAAGCTAACCTCGCTAGTCCCCAAATGATGGGCATTTGGGTTGCTCCCAATCTCTTGATATCAAAACAAAGCTGAGAGAATACCCTTGAACATACATCTCTGTCTACCCATGGGCATGTCTATAAGGTAAATTCCTGGATGTGGAATTGCTAGGACCTTGTACACTTCGAATTCTGATAGGTGCTCCCTGTTTGGCTCAAGAGGTGCTTTGAATAATATGATGAGGATGCCTTTTCTCTGTTTTCCAGGCTTGCGACATTTCAGAGACCTCCTCTGTCCCTTCATTTAATCAGTCATATATCCTACCAACTCAACTCCTCCCAGTCTGACCATCTTCCTCCCTCCATTCCCACTGCTGTGGTCCTGGCTCAGGCCTGCATCCCTTCTCACCAGAACAGTTGCAGCTGCCAACTGAGAACGTGTTCTAATCACCTGCCAGAGCAAAAATCCTAAAACGGAACTAAATCATTCTTCTGCTCAAACACCTATGTTGGAGTCTCACCGTGTAAAAATTGAAAAATCCAACTCCTTAGCTTGTCTTCCAGTGCTTTCCAGGTTGTCCCCAACTTCTCCCTCATTCCTCACACACCTTAGGCTTCACTGAAACTGGACTCTGGTGCCTTATGTGGACCCCCAGCTCACCGTTTCCCTCTTTTCTCATAGTGGAAATCTTGCTTTTCCTTTAAGGTAGACTCAAACCCCATCTCCTCCACGAATCCACGCAGTGTAGGACCACTAGTGTTGGACAGGTTGACTTGGATTCTAGTCCGGACTCTCTTCTGGGGGATGTCACTCAATCTTTCTCAGATTCAGATTTTCATCTGTTAAATAAAGACAAATACACCAACCTTGCAAGGTTGCTGTGAGGATTAGGGATAATGGGCATATAGCATGCACTCACTAAAAGGTAATTTTGACTATTTCCGTGGTCACTATAACCGTCCCACCGTACTTGGTTTGGAGCCCCTCGTTCTACACCGGCAGCATTTGCTTTGTTACAGCTGGTTGTGGACAAGACTGTTTTAACCACTAGACTGCAAGCTCGCTGTGGGCAGGGCTCGTGATTCATCCCAGGACCTCCCAGCGCCTGGCGGAGAGGCTGCAAACCTGTGAAGAACGAGACAAACGTAGAATAAGATACACACATGGAAGGAAAACAGACGCACGCGCAGAGCGGCTGGAAGGCAGCCGGGAGCACAGCGGGCGGAGCCCGGGCAGGGGGCGGGGCCTGGGCCTGGGGGCGGGGCTTGGCACGGACCCCGCCCCGGTCCGTCCGCGAACGTGCTCCGCTGGCGCACGCCGCGTGCAGCGTCGACCCCTGCGCTGCCTCCAAGCTCCTCCCGGCGCGGCGGGTCCAGTGCGGGAGCTGAAATGCGCCCCCTGCTCGGCCTCCTCCTGGTCTTCGCTGGCTGCACCTTCGCCCTGTACTTGCTGTCGACGCGACTGCCCCGCGGGCCGCCACTGGGCTCCGCCGAGGACACTGGAGGCAGGTGCGTGGCCGCGGTGGCGGGGACCGGGGTTCGGGTCCGAGGAAGGGAGCCTGGTCCGAGGACGGGGTCTGGGAATCGGAGATTCGGCTTCCCAGATCGGAGGCGTCGGGGGCCGGGATTTGCGGTTCAGGGCTAGGACTGGAGTTCGGGGTCTGGGATCCCGGCCGCGTCTCCACGGTCTCGGGCAGGCCGAGTGAAGGGGAGCGGGGCGCGGCCCTGGCGGGGCCCTGCCGGCTGCGCGGGCGCGCTGCCCGCGCGCGCGGCCGGTGCCTTTGGGTGGGGATTTGCGGAGGGAGACGCGGCGCCTTGCCCCGGGCGGAGCCTGCCCGCGCAGCTCTGTTCGCGGGGTGGCATCGCCTCCCTACCTGGGTTCCCGTCGCCTTCCCAGGCCCACCTCTGACCCCCAGCTGCAGCCAACCCTCACCGCTGTGTGGACCCGCAGCCCCTTTTCACAACTACCCTCAGCCTCCCTTCCTCGTGCGCCCCACCTCTCCTCTCTTCCATCTGGTCTGCCCTTGGGTCTTTAAGGCGTTCGGTCTTCAGGAGAAACGTTACATGGACAATTTAAAATTATTCACGAATTAATGATCGGGTCCACCCCTCTTCTTGGCCGTCTCTGCTTTTCCCCTTCTTCTGATCGACTGCGTGAGGCAGGAGGCAGTCCAATACCTATCGGGCTGGTTTGTCCTGTGTGCTGCATACTGTTTGTAAAGTTCATGGCAGTGTGCCTGACACAGCATTGCACTGTCAAGGATGTTACTGATATCTGAATGTCAGGACAACTGTTTTCATTACTGTATTCTTTTGCTCTAGCTGAGAAGGGTCTGCTGTGGGTGTCAGACATACTGAGAGAATCATTTTGATGAGAACTAGGAAGGCTTGCTCGTACTTGATCATTGATGGGTTCAAGGGTTGTTCATATGCCAGAGGCAAGGTAGCCTTCACACTATAACCCTTGCACAGGATTCAGAGAGCACTGAGGACCAGATAAAGAGCGGGGTGAACAGGCAGGCTCTTCCAAAGGGTTGGTTTCAAGCTTGACATATTATCAAGAAGCTTATGTTTATGGTGTGGGACAGATATACTTTCCCCGAGAAGCTTTAATTGGCTTGTTAGTGACTGATAAAACAGTCGTTTTGCTAGTAACTCAGGAGCAGTGTGAAGTTTGAGGTGTCCTTGGTTTAAAGCTTGTGTGGGAGGAGTGCTCCTTGAAAGGAAGGCAATTTAGGACGTTTGGTACTTGCCTAGAAATTAATCCATTTGCTTCTTAAGAATAGATCATAAAACCTGAGAGCTAAAAGGGAACTTAGTGATTCTCCAACACCGGCCCGTCCTTTTTCAGACAAGGAAACTGAGGCCCAGGGATTAGCCCAAGATCACATACCTGGGTAGTAGCAGTGTTGAGATGCTAACCCAGGTCTCTCGCTTCCAAACCAGGACTCTAACATCCACTCCTGCTGTGTTGTATTGGGTCATCCATCATCCTGGGCTCCCATCGCGTGTGTGTTCCCAGCAGACCACATGATGGGCACATTTATAAACCTCCTTGGGGAAGAAGACCCACAACAAGTGACTCTCTTAAGTACTAGGCTCATCTGGACTCCTGTTTCCATCTGCTTTTCCATATCCACAGGTCACTGTGGTTCCCCTCAGACCTGGCTGAGCTGCGGGAGCTCTCTGAGGTGCTTCGAGAGTACAGGAAGGAGCACCAGGCCTACGTGTTCCTGCTCTTCTGCAGTGCCTACCTCTACAAACAGGCCTTTGCCATCCCCGGCTCCAGCTTCCTGGTCAGTGCCCTGCCCTCCTTCTGTGCCTGCCAGGAAGCCACCTTGTGTCTTTGGAAAGAGGTCCTTAGGCTGCAAATCCTACAGTCCAGAGGACAGGCTGTTATGGCAACCATTTACTGACAGCTTCCTCTGTGTCAGGCACTGTCCTAGTTGCTTTACCTGCATGACCTTATGTAATTCTCCCAACAGCCAATAATGGGCATTATTATCCACATTTTACAGATAAGGAAACAAATGGTGAGAAGTTAAGTAACTGTCCAAGGTGACAAGATGGGGAGGGGTAGGGCTGGGGTCTGAACTCACGTCTGCCCAGCTCCAGAGTCTGCCTTTCCTCTCAGGTATGCTGTTTTTGTTTCTGAGGCATTGATAGCTTTGGAGCGCTGACCTTGAGAGGCGCGCCCACATGCACACACATGCACCCACTCCCGGGCTGGGTCAGCTCTTCCTCCTCAGAGCTCCTGTAATGTTCTGCATTTTAGCACTGTTTTTGATTTTTTTAAATCTGTTTTTTCCACAGTCTGTAAGTTCCTGAGGGCAGGCCCTGTTCCTTAGTCTCAGCCTTTGTATTCATTTGCCTGACATAGGGAAGTGCCTTCACAAATGTTTGGGGAACAAATGTAAGTTGTTCATGGCGATATTAGGCTGTGGAGGATTGGGAAGTCCTGGTGTGGAGAGGACAAGTCCTTCTGATTTTCCAGGTGGTCCCCACCCCGGCTCTCTCTCGGCCCCCACCCCGGCTCTCAGTGTTAGACCTGGGCTTGTGCTCAGCTGTTGGATGCTTCTCAGTTGCCGTCTCAGGTTACACGGGAGGGTCTGTGCTTTCCTCACAGCAGCATCTTAAGCTGGTTTGTGAATGTATGTATATTGTTAGAGCTTGGGGTAAGTTTGAATCCCAGTTGTGGAACCAGGGGCAAGCCATTTAACTTCTCCAACCCTGTTTCCTCATCTGTAAAATGAGGATACCCCTACTTAACCCCCAGGAGTGTTACGTGGGACGATTAAAAAAACATGAGTGTAGAGTGGCTGGCACGGTGATGGTGCCTGGCCCACCGTGGCCCTCAGCCCTTGTGGAATGATTAAGCGACTGAGCAGGAAACCCCGAAAGCTTCTTTCCGTCCTGCTTCTCTCTCCTGCCCCAGCATCTTCTCTTCTCTCTCTTGCCCCAGGATTCAGCTCAGGTTGGATCTGCCACTTAAGCAGTTTCTTTCTTAGAAACTGGAAGAAAAGCAGACAGGTCTATGCCAAGAGAGACAGGCGAGGTATGTGGTGCTCGAGGTCAGGGGCTGATTCCTTGGGGTTGCCCCGTACCTGCCTTCCCTCTTAAGCTGATCCCTCAGGGTGAAGAGCCAACTGCTCCCCGGGAGTGAATCCTGTCTCTGCCTAGGGTGATCTTGGGCACCATACTTGATCTGTCACCTGTACAAGGGGGTAAGGATAGTACATGACACAGAGTCGTAATGAGGATTAAGTAAGATGTGGTCAGGCACTTAGCACATAGTAGGTGCTGAGCAGATCACCACCTTCTTGCCTCCCCTTTTACCTTCTCTCTTGGATCCCATGTTTCCAGCCAAACTGCATTTAGGAATTATTGGTTCACTTTTCCATTTTTGTTCATCTAAGGCTTTTTTGAGTGTCACTTGTGAGTTTCCTTTCTGCCTTCTGGAAGCATCTCTTTGCAGGACCTGCCACAGCCTGTGCAGCAGGCTGGGTACCATATACACGTATTTTCCCATTTAATTCTGTCTGGCCCGCTGAGGGTTTAATCCTCTGCCCCGTTTTAAAGGTGAAGAGACCGAGGCCAGGGTTGTAGTTCCCAGCTCTTTCATCACTTTTCATTCACTTCTTTAAAATGGGAGTTGGGTTTTGGCTGGGAAAAATCACTGGAGGAGGAGGGACCCTGTGACTCCTGGGCTCCAGGAGGAGGTGACTGCTAGCTGCCAGATGCTGTAATGGCCGAGGGTTTGTTTTCTTTGCAGAACGTTCTAGCTGGTGCTTTGTTTGGGCCATGGCTGGGGCTTCTGCTGTGCTGTGTGTTGACCTCAGTGGGTGCCACATGCTGCTACCTGCTCTCCAGCGTTTTTGGCAAACAGCTGGTGGTCTCCTACTTTCCTGATAAAGTGGCCCTGCTACAGAGGAAGGTAAGGGGAGAGGGCACAGCCGAGTACTGGGCCCCAGGAACTCACCTCATGGCCCTGAGGGGAGTGAGGGGAAGGGGTTTCCCACAGTGCTCCTCTGCCCTGCTGTGGGAGGTCCTGGGGGTCCTTCGGATGCCTCCAAGAGGCACAGACCTGGGATCAAATCCCACCTCCGTCATTACCAGCTTTGTGACTTTGGGCAAGTTCCTGCCTTCTCTGAACCTCAGGATCTCCATTTTAAAAACAGGAACAGGGGCCGGCCCCATGGCGCAGCGGTTAAGTGCGCATGTTCCGCTTCTCGGCGGCCTGGGGTTTGCTCGTTCGGATCCCGGGTGCGGACATGGCACCGCTTGGCACGCCATGCTGTGGTAGGCATCCCACATATAAAGTAGAGGAAGATGGGCATGGATGTTAGCTCACGGCCAGTCTTCCTCAGCAAAAAGAGGAGCACTGGCAGCAGTTAGCTCAGGGCCAAACGAAAAAAAACAAAAACAAAAAAAATGAGAACAGTCTATGTCCCAGAATTTACAGAATATGTAAAGTATCTAGAACAGTGCCTGGTACCAACAGATTTTCAATACCTGGAGACTCTTTCTGCTTCTTAATGGCCTTGTCTTCTTTGGCTACAGGTGGAGGAGAACAGGAACAGCTTGTTTTTTTTCTTACTGTTTTTGAGACTTTTCCCCATGACGCCAAACTGGTTCTTGAACCTCTCAGCCCCGATTCTGAACATCCCCGTCGTGCAGTTCTTCTTCTCTGTTCTGATCGGTAAGCAGCTGTGGGGTGGGGTTGAGTCTTCAGAGTTGTCATGTTGGGGGACTGCTCTGGGTTACCAGCCACACGGGCATGCCCGCCTCTGAGAGCACAGGCTCCTGAAGAGCATCTTCAGGCCTCATGACCTAAAGTACTGGTTCCTGATGTCAAAGCTACTCAGGCTTGAACCTGAAAATCCATAAAAATCCTTTTGGGAAAAATAAGGATTGTTTATTCTGCAGCTGTATTTGGTGCCTAATGAGTGCTGAGCACTGTGCTGGGCCCTGGGATTAGAAATCTGTGTAAGACACACGACTTGGCCCATCGTCAGGGCTCGGTGAGTGCCTGCGGGAGAAGCAGGGCTGTGGCGGAGAAAGGGTGGGGGCGGGGGAAGGAGCAGAGCAAAGGGCTTCCTGTCTGGCTTTGGCCCCTGTTTTGATTAAGATCTGCCTTAGGAAGAGCTGGTACCAGTGAGGTTTCTTGCCTTTTGACAATTCTGTGACCTTCTGCAAGCTGCTTACCCTCAATGGACCACTTGGCCAGATGAGGGGCTGAGCCTAGAGCAGCGTTTCTCAAATCATGGGCCTTGGACCACACATACCGGAATGGTAAAGTGCTAACATCCTGTCAGATCGGTGACTGTTTTCTCCACACTGGAAGTAAACCACCCTCCTTAAGCCTAAGGCAGGGATTGCCTCTCTTCAGCCTTCCTCAGAGCACAGAAGAAAAGACTACTCAGGGCTTCTAGGTCAAACATATCAAATCTGTGGTTGAGCGGCTGCTATTAATAGGGAATTCTGGAGAGACATTGAGATCTTAAATCGAAGCCGAGTCTTACACAGCTAATTCTGGTCATAGCGGCTTTCACAGCGCTTCAGTACTTCACTCAGCAGCCCGTCATGACCTCGGTGGCACAAGGCTCGAAAAGACTGGAGACCGGGGTTCCAGTCCCCACTCTGACAAGCTGTGACCTTGAGTGGTCTATGACCTTGAGGCATCATCTACTGTAGAAGAGGAATGGATTATCGGGGGAGGGGGTCCCAAACCAGTCAGAATCTTGAGGGGGCGGGGTCAGAGAGGGTGCTAGAATGCAGATTCCTGGGCTTTCTTCCAGACCCAGGTAACCAGAATCTCTGGGGTTGGAGCCCGGGGATTGTTTTTAACAACTTCACTGGGGGATTGTTATGCAACCAGCCTCTCCAGCCACCAGGCAGACTTGGGATCCAGTGGATTTGATGACCTCTTAGAGGCAATATAAAACATGAAAAGTAAGGGCCGGCCCGGTGGCGCAGCGGTTAAGTTCACACGTTCCGCTTCTCAGCGGCCCGGGGTTCGCTGGTTTGGATCCCGGGTGCGGGCATGGCACTGCTTGGCACGCCATGCTGTGGTAGGCGTCCCACGTATAAAGTAGAGGAAGATGGGCACGGCTGTTAGCTCAGGGCCAGGCTTCCTCAGCAAAAAGAGGAGGACTGGCAGTAGTTAGCTGAGGGCTAATCTGCCTCAAAAAAACAAACAAAAAAACAAAGATGAAAAGTAGTACTGCTTCTAAGAAACGTGTCTGTCTTTAGCATATGCGTACTGTAAATCTCAGTGCTGGTGCCTCTCTTTACTTTGGCTGTGGAGCACTCAGAGGCAAATTTGGCTCCTCTAGCAAATGGGTAAACCTTATGCATTTTTGTCCTAACTGTACTCCTTTTTTTCTTCACTCATTTTGTTGTCCCTATTTATCTTAAATTAAAAATTTATCCTGAGTATATATTTTTTTAAACCATCTTACATCTTTTGTTGAACAAGGCAGATGAATATGGGAGTGAGGAAAGAGTGGAAAAGAAGACAGGAAAGAGGTATTATGTTCAGGGGTCAAGAGTTGGGAAAAAAACCCCACAAAACCTGGAGTCACTGTTGTGAATTCCTGGTGACATTTCTGAAAGGGGATTGTTTTTCATTTCCTGCCCACCAGTAACAGGCTCTTTCCCTTTTTTTCTTCCAGGTTTGATCCCATACAATTTCATCTGTGTGCAGACAGGCTCCATCCTGTCAACCCTTACCTCTCTGGATGCTCTTTTCTCCTGGGGAACTGTCTTTAAGCTGTTGGCCATTGCCCTGGTGGCCTTAGTTCCTGGAACTCTCATTAAAAAATTTAGTCAGAAAGACCTGCATTTGAATGAAACAAGCAGTGCTAATCATCTAAATAGTAGAAAGGACACGTGATCTGGAGTTTTTGGTTGCCACGTCCCTGGACTCTGTTATAGTTTATTTGTGTAATGAGTGTGGTCCTCTAAAGGCCCTCATCGTTTGTTAACTATTCTCGACAGGTGATTTGGACTGTTCCTGTGTGTGCAGTGTCTTATCGTAAAGGCCACTCTGCTCTAGAAGATGAATTAGATCAGGTTCTCAAACGCGTCCTGACTTAAGAGGATACTCTGCGAATTGGAGGGCCTTCTGGAAATCCTGTTTATATTTTACCGAGTAACAAGGAACTCAGGATAGTCTGTTGTATTTGCCTCCCGCCAGCCCTGAGCTGCCTTGGGAGAGCACGCCGATTGTCCAGAGTGCCACATCTGCAGAGTGATGGGCTGTTGTGACAGTGTTCTCCTGTTAAGTCCCTGGCGGATGTTAGTAGTGTAAATGATGACATTTGAACCCACATCGCTGACATCACTCTTCACCTTGTTAGTCTCTTAATTGTGTTTCTTTGTACTTTTTTGCTGATGACCTACCTCATCCATAAACCAAGGGAAATAAGCTGAGGAACTGCGTAGAACTTCCACATACAGCTCAAATGCACAATGATTTCTGTGATGCTCTTTGTGTCCAGACACAGTGATGTTACCATGTATGTCACATCTACTCTTTGTTGCATGTCCTGACCATTAAGCTGATTGCAAACAGACTATTAAATATGAATGGAGCAACCTCTGTATGTTACGGATATGTTCTGGAGAAATTCTTACCCATCTGGAAAGGGCAGAGCCAGGCCCTTCACTCACTGAACCAAATGGGGGTGAGGAGGTGGCCAACTGGACTTGAAATATGTGGCTCTGTGTGTTCTGGAGTAGATAGGGAAGGTGACACGAGAGCTTTTCTACACTATTGCAAGTGTGTGTCCTTTGCCCTTTATCAGGGTTCGTAGATTTCTCTCTCTCCCTCTCCCATGATTTTGCAACAACGTGCCTTATCAGTTGTGAGTTTGCAGGCAAAGCAGTTTCCCAAATAAATGGATATAAATGTTCTGTGTGGTGTGTGTTTGTACGTGGTGCTTTCAACTCCCCTTGCCGGTGGGAATCAGCATTGGCTGAAAATCAGACAATCCAAAATGGTATCTTAGCTTCTTACCAATGTTATTCTTAGGAAGCCAGATTTTCATTTTCACCTTTTCCTCTCTATGCTCACTTTATAGTTGGTACTAATGACAGAAGCGTTGCTGTATGATGGGCAGCAGGAAAGCTTAGGGAAGAAGCCAAGTTCTGTCTAGACTATGACAGAATAATCAAGAAGAGACTGTAACAAAAGACAACGATGGTTGTCTCTTCCATTGGTGGATGTGTCTGATGAGAGAGCTGCAGAAACCAGCTTTCCCCATCACCTATTTTTTGGCTGCAGGAAATGCAGTCATGTAGTCTTCCTTCCTCTAAAGTTCTGACACGCTGAGACTTGTGAAGGCAGCTCTCAGGACACAAACAGTACCTTTAGGAAAAGACAGGACCAGAAAACAGTGAAGTACACTTTGTTTAATTCCATGCATTTGTTTGCCTTGATAGTCACTCTTGTTCTGTGGCTGTACAAATTGTTCAGTACAAAGAGGGAGCCAGCATCAGAAACCAACACATGGAGCGGGGAACTAACAGGACCGGAGACCACAGGGGAGACAGGTGAGGGAGTTCATTTTGAGACTTAACCACAAAAAAGAACTTAATTTGCTCCAAGTTGAAAGGAACTCAAATTACTGCAATAAAGAATCAAAAGTGGGTCTTCTCACTTCCAGAGTCTGAGAAGTGGTCACTGTGGAGGTGGAGAGTGACTGGGTGATGTGGTCAGTACGGGATGGCTTCCTAACAGCTTGCACGTTCTGGCTGGGCTTCCCTCTGGCCTGCAACCATTGGAGGACCCTGTCTGCCTGGTCACTGGGCAGCAGCCTGGGGCCTGGGGCCAGCGTTCCCCTGAGTGCTGTGAAGTGGCTCGAGAGAGGCCTGGGATTCTGCCAGAAGTTTCCTTACAGTGGCCTTGCCATCTGCTTGGGGACTGGCCTCTGTGAAATGCTGCCATCATGCTCTGGTCATGTGACACTTAACAAAAGCCTTAACCCAACCCCTTTGGAGTCACCCTGCTCAGAGCAGTGATTTCAGAGCTCCCCTCTTCTGCCACCTGTCCCTGAGAAGTGTTCAGGTTCCACAAGGGTCCTCCACTTGGCAGCCTAATTCACTCCAGTTGAATGGGCGCTTGCAGTATTGGTGTAACATGCAACAAGCAGACCAATGTGATTCTTACGTGCTAGTCTGTGAGGTTGGTAACATTGGTGGAGTGAGTATACTAGGACATTTTATTCTATGAAATCAGCAAAGAAGAAAAATCTTGCTGCCTGGAAAGGCACTAAATTCATACTGACAGTACAAGTCTTAAAAAGAATGTCACATTGTTTTGGTACATTAGTCTCAGAGTCTAAGGAAGAAGCAAGTAACTGGGACTTAGCATTAACTTTTTGTTTATAGACGGTGAGGGAGGAACACGCTCATTTAACACAATGAAATGATGTAAAGGAAGAGACAGTCTGAAATTCAATCCATTAGTGATTGGAGATTATTCAATTGGAATTGTAGTCCAAAAGGGCGGTGGGTGGAGGCAAGTGGCCTTTTTCCTGCCAATGGTGCTGTCCTGACAGCCAGAGGTTGGGATCCATTGGTGCGATCCTGTCATTCTCCCGTCAAGGCTCACTCAAAATCTCACACCACCTTTAAGAAATTAATTATAAGCTTAGAGCTGGGATGGCAGACAGATCTCCCCTTGCACGCCAATTCCAATCAAGTGGTAGTTGTTGCTCCAAGTGCTGTGTTGTGAGAGCTTCTGAGGCTGTGTCCGGGCTCAGTGGAAAGAATATGTTGATCAACAAATAAGGTCAGTCTTGAGTGTTTACAGTGGACATGGTAGATGGTGGTATGTCATGGTATTTTGGCTTCTGGCTTAGTGGAAAATCAAAACAAAACATAGTATACTATACTGCAGAGCAAGGCGGGAATTCCTGGGATTCCAAAAATTATATTCTATTTTGGAGAATTCAGTTCCAGGAAGTTCAAGTAGGAACATTTAAGGGGGAAAAATTGAGACATAAAGGCATGGAAAGAGAGAGTAAATCATTTGATCAATAAGGATGCATTCATACTGAAAGGAAGTCAATGCTCCCCAGTGGGGGAGGGCATTTAAAATTGGGTTGGCATCAAGAAAACCCCAAACCATCAAATCCATTATTTAGAGTAAGAGGAAAATTTAGCACAATGAGGTCCTGAAATAGATGTCCAATACTTTTTAAATCCTAGTAAAAATATCCTTCATTCTAGAAGGATGAATTTGTTGATACTAAAGTTTTTAAACATCCAAACTTCAAGTAGGTCTTAACCAAATTATCTCACAACAGAGCTAGTTTCTTCGCCTTTCTGAGTAGGAGTTCCACAATCTTGCAAACAAGTCTAAACTTTAGCGGTGGGAAGGTCTATTATAATTTCAAAGTGGATGTAGGCTTTTCAGGCCCTCTGCTAAGCAATGTTAAGAGGAATTGTTATTCAGAGGACATGATCTAGAATGAGATGAAAATCAGAACCAATGTTCATCTGCAACACAAATTAAAACTCATTATCTTTCAGTCAGTCAAAAACAGATGCTAAATGAATGTGGGCATTCATCCCAAGGGGGTTAAACCTTCAATCAACAATGAAGCTTGAAATCAGTCCTGTGAGGTTCCTTAAAGCACTGTTACACAGTTATCAGGACTGAAGAATTAGCTCTTAAATTCCCTGAGCTCTTAATTCACCACTCTTCAGCTGACCGTAGAGTTGTTCTCAAAGAACACACACCAATTCAAAATTGTCCTGGTTAGCTCAAGGCAGGCAGCGAAGGGCAAGGCCCGGATACAAAGGCATTTCTCTTTTTAACCTAAAGACACTGTTCTTCTCTGAAGCCTCTAGTCACTTCTACTAAAAAATAAAATGTTCACTGTGGAACTTTATTCAACTCTTGACAATACAGTGACTGATGATTCAACACTGTCTATTACTCGAACATGTTCATAAAAGTGAATCCAGATAGGTATATGGCATTATCATGACAGATAGTCAAGATGGAAATTTAAAGAACCTACCAAAATAATGAGGTATCAGGTGTGGGTTTTCTAGGAAGACCATCACTGAAAGGTGTAAGACAGATGTTGACCCTCGTGTTTCTCTTTTGCCACTAGGTGGGCAAGAACTGGACAAACTGAAGTGTCAGTGTTTTATGTTGGACAGAAAGAGGACACAGTTGTCGGCTCTCTGTAACAAACCAGAGAGATTCACAGTACAGTGTGGTCCAAAGTCCAAGGATGGAAAATATGGACTTTCAAGGTACTTCTCCAGCCCTATGATCCTCTAAGTTGACTAGGCCTCATTCTAGAATTTCTCTAGTCTTGTCATGGGATCACATCACAGCTAGGCATTTTATGTCATGCCTTTTTTTTTTTTTAGTTTCTTTGCTACTCCCAACTAGGAGAAAAAAGGTTGGTTTTGTGGGATCCATCTGGCAGGATGGAGATTACAAACTATGCTGCGAGTTCTTGAAACGATCTGACCCATGGGCCCCCTGCAGAAACTGTCTAGGTCTGTTCCTCTCAGGGCATTAAATAATTCTCTTTTTGCTTCTAATATAGTCCCATGATTTTATTTCTTAAGAAACTTGAGAAAGTTTACAGCTTTTGAAGTCTTTGTCCATCCACTCAGTCATCTGCCCAGCCAGGAGCTTTCCTGATCAAGTCAGAATCACAATGTATCCACTGGGCGCCAGGGCAGAACGCTCATCCTCAGATGATTGTAGTTGTACACAGACAACGAGAGGACACAACTAGGATGAATACCAGGGAGCTTCCAAATGGCAGTTCTATTTTCATTCCATCATAAAAATCATAAAAATCCATAATAATTCATGGTTAGCAATAAACACAATCATTGTACTATACCGTAAACCATACCTTCTGATCGACAGAACATGAGAATAATAATTATAAAATAAAATAACAATGATAATAATGCCATAACTTAAGATCTTTCATGTAGTCCAGCTACAGAATTTATACAAAATGGAATAATTTAATGCAAACAATACTGCTCTCTGTATAAGTTAAACATTTTCCTTCATCCTACCTAAGAGCTATAAATTATAGACACTAAATTTTAAATCAATTTTCAACATAAAGTGTAAACAAATGGAGGGGATCAAACAAGCAAAAGGAGCTGCTCTATCTTCCCTCCTGCTTTCCTTTTTGGCTGATGCAATCAGTGAAACCCAGAGGAGGGCAACGTTTTCATCTGCGTTGGAAATGGTTTAATACCTGTATGTCAGTCTTTCCAAATGTCCAGTATGATGTGGCGTCAGAGAGTCTAGCCATCTTCTTCAGGTCTTGAGCCTAGGTAGGTTGTTTGACAGTAACCCATCTTGGAGACAGAGACAGGAACTAGGCCAACATCTGTTTTTATATAAAATATTAGATAAAAATGTCCTTAAAGCCGAGGCACCATGAAGTACCTTGGGATGCTTTTCAGAGCCCATGACCGTGGAGACAGGAAGGACCTCATGCCTTGGACAATGTAAACTCTTTCCAATCGCTGCTCAGCATCACTTGTTCTTTCCATAAATTTTCAAATCCAATTATTCAAAACTGCATCGAAGCAAAGTGAACTAAAATACATTTTACAAGTAGCAATTAACAAAAATGCTATTGTGGCGGGAGAGAGGTTGCGTTTTGCAAGTTGCTTCTTTTGCCTTTATTCTGATAGTGGTAGCCAGTCACTAAAGCTTCCAGGATAGAATGTATTAATGAGTAAAAACAAGGGGAATGGCTTGGGATTGGACACTGGACAGACTCACACACAGCCTAGCTGCCTTCAAAGTCTGTTGTCCGGTTTAAATCAATATGACTCTGGTAGACAAGCAGCTTGGTTCCAGGGAGGGTTGACCCCATCTTCTCCATGTAGCCGAACTGAGACATTCTGAGAAGGTATTTCCTCAAATCACACAATTGCTTTTCCAGCACTGTTGTAAATTTCCTTTCTCTCTTATCCTTCTCTCCTCAGGCCCACCCCTCCTCCTTTTTTCCTAAATGAAGTAGCAACAGGTGGAAAGGAAATAGGCTACAAGAAAATGGCACTTGAGTCTGAAAAATTAACATATTGGTCAAGGTAACACATTTGTCAAGGTAATGACAATGACAGCATTGAAAGGGAAGTATTTGTCAAGGACAAGGTTTGACATTAACTGTATAAGTCTTATGACCAAATGCTGCTTAAAATTTTAGAAATGAAATCAGCTTCCACGTACACAGTTTTCTTTTTCCTCCTAGAGGAAGTATATGCCCTCAAAGACCTTGGGTGCAAATATCTTGTCACCAAACTTTTCTAGGTCATGTTCATCACCCATCTGGGTAAGCTGGTTGAACTTAATGTGGTCTGTTCACAAATTACCTAGAATTGCTTTTCTTTTGCCCTTCTTTGTTTTCTAAAATGCTCAATATGTCTTGCTCTGGCTCTTCTTCAGTCACTTACGGCCAAAAGGACTGGTCCCCTGTTCAAGTAGCAATAATACCTCCTGGCCCCACCAGTTCCCAAGGATGTTGCTCCTAACTTCCACTTCTTTCGTTTCATTCTTCCTTTCTTTCTCTCTCTCTCTGTCTTTTTTTTTTTGCAAGAAATTATTGTTTCTCTCTATATATCATATATAGTTCACTCTTTACAGTACAAAGTGTTAAAATGTCAAACAAAAATAAATATCAATGTTACAGTAGCTAGAATATTCAATAAAATAGATCCCTGCCATTCTTGATTGAAATGTTCGTGAGACTTAATTTCATTTGGATATTTTTTTCCAGAGATTTGCGAAGTCTCATGTTCCTGTTATTGCAGCTCATTTCTAGGGGGAAGAAAGATAGGGCAGCTCTCTTCCTAGCCAAAAAAGCAGGGAGAGAGTGGGAAGAGTCTGGGTTGGGGTGGATTTGAAATGCCAGGGAAGTGAGGAGATCTTCAGGATGGGCATTCTTTCATTACCAAGTAGCAGAGCTGTAGTGTTTATTGGTCCTAACTGTGGCATCAGAACACTCTCCATCTGAAGAGTCACAGTCCGATTCTTCAAACTGCATAGGATTCTGCAAAGTGAGGACAAAATAAAACAATTTATTTCTGCATTTACTGAGTAAACATATATTGAACACCTCCCACACCACAGGTACTGTGCTGAGTTGCTGGGTAAGTGGGCTATGAAGATAAGTGAGACCAGGTCCTTTCCTTGTGGGGCTTCTGGAGAAGGAAGACACATAATGATGATGTTGATGATGACGATGACAATTATAACAGTACCAGCACCCCCCCAACTTATATAGCATTTACTATGTTCTAGACACAGCCAGCCGTAAGTACTTTATATCTATTAATCCATTTAATCCTCACAACAACCCTATGAAATAGATGCTGTTATCATACCCATTTTACAGATAAGGAAACTGACCTACAGAGAGGTTAAGTGGCTTGCCCAAAGTCACACGGTAAGTAAGTGGGAAGGCTAAGGCTGGGATTTGCATCTAGGCAGTCAGATTCTAGGGTATACACTTTCAACCGCTATGCTATCCTGCCTCTCAAAAGGCACTGAATGCACTATAGTGTTACATGTGCTATGACAGCATTGTCCAGGGGACAGTGGGACATGGAGAGGGAGGCTCATGTCCTTAACCAGGCTGGGAGAGGGGGTCGGGAGAAGGTGATGTGTGAGTTAAATCTTGGAATGAAGGGTTCCTGAGCAGTTTAATGTTTGTGCCTCATTTGGTAGCATGGCCCGCATTTCAGGGAGCTCCGTTGATCTCTGTCCTTCTACTTACTTCATGGAGGCAGTTGTTTTATCTTATATACTAAATGATAACTATAAAGGCCCTAGGGACTTGAGCATGTTCTAACCCAAAGGAGCTATAGGGAGGGAAAAGTGATGAGAGGAGAAGGGAAGAGAAGCCCCACCTCATAGCCACGTTCCTCCGCACACAGCTTGCCTAGAGACATCTGTGTCTTCACGCGGCGCACAGCACACTCCTTGTCAGAGAGCCCATCCGAATGTGAGGATATCTCAATGGGGATCTCCGGCGTCTGGGACAGCAGCTCGTCTAGTTTCTCCGCCAGGTGGTCTTCAAGTTTATCTGCTAACTCATCAGGACTGTTTGAGTGGTCACTGGTATTTCCCTCCTCTCCATCAGACACAGAGAAATTCTCAGAGCTAAAGGTTGAATATGACTGGCAGCTGCTGATACAGCGATGGGGCCTAGAACCACAAAGAACCAGAGGAACTTCATCACAGGAACAACTACTTTCCTTTCCTTGTCTGTCAATCATAGCTTTGGTGCGAGGTCATCTCGTTTTTTTCCTGCCCCTGAGGGAGAATCAAATCCAGATAGGTAGAAACTATTTAACTTTAAAGCAACAGAGAAGGAAATGTGAATTTCCCTTTTCATTTGGTTTACATGTTTATGTGGCCAAACACTACACTCCAAAGCTGATGGCTACCAATGGTTTTTAAAAAAATTGGCTGGTCTAATTATCCTGTGTACACGTATGCATGGTATGGAAATGTTCAAATTGAAATTATGCTTCTTATTCATAGAATCCTGGGTTCTTAGGTGAAACAGACTTTGGAGATTCTCTGGTCTGACTCATTTCCCAGATCAGATAACTGGAGCCAGAGAAAAGTGACTTGTTCCAGGCCACACCATCAGAGAAGGCAGAGCTGCAGCTTGAGCGAGGTCTACTCACAGGCCCCTCGGAGTCCTCTACCTCCCTCCCCCCGCAGCTGCAGGCCCCATTGGGCATGGCAGCCCTGGAAGGCTGTGTGCGCTCACCACCCCCGTCCACGGAGCCCCCAGCAGGAATAAGCTTGGAAGGAACTCTCATTGTGCAGCTGGGGACACTCCCCAGCCAGTGAGTGGCTCATTCCAGCTAACAGCTGGGTTTAGCTCCAATGAGGCAAAGCTTGGGGCAGGGCTGGGGGAGGGGGAGATTTGTAAAAGTTCCTCATTTCTTTCCCATTGTTTATAAGTAGCCTAGCAAATAAGAATGCTGTTAGCTTATACTGGTTTTGAAAACAAAACAAACAAAACAAATAATAAAAGAAGACTGCCCTTTTCCTCTGTCATTGTCTCATCTTTCTGTATTTCTTAGTGCAAAGCAATTTGATGGCATATGATCTGATCCTGGCAGATGTTTAAGCCAGGTGATGGGCTGGGGGTGGGGGGATCAAGGACACATGGAAAGAAGATGAGGGAGCCCAGGTAGGAAAGGGAAGTTAAAGTAGGACACAAAGCTGATGATCCAGAAGGGAGACAGGGAGAAGAATGTTACCATGCAAAAAGCAAAACCATGTGGTAAGAACATAAATATAATTTGCATTATGGCAAAAATAAAGGTGAGAAGGCATTAGGTGTCCTGAGCTCATGATGTGTCATAGGAACAAAAGCTGGAAGTAACATAATTGTGATGCCAGCAGAATGAGTTCAGAGAGTGAAAAGACATTTTACTCAGGCTCAGTCTCGCTGCACAGGAGAAAACATAGTGTCCAAGCAGACACTAAGACAGCAATAATGACATGGCAGGAACAGCGCAGGGGATGAGAACAGATTACAATTTTGTGCACAGTGTGGGGACCCAGAGTACAACTTACCAACAGACTAGGAGTCCCTTGGTTTGCCGAGAATTCCTCTTTCTGGGTAGGTACACAAACCTCCCTGGGGATTCTTAGAGCCCTACTCTTCAAGGGAATGTCTATTAGCAGAAAAGCCCTCCTGGGACAAAGAAAACTACCTTCCTTACTTCTACTTAGGAGCAGCTCTATTCTAGAAGTAGGCGGGTGTGGTCCTTTTTTTAATCCTACAAGCAAAGTTACCATCTCTTGGCTAAATAGGAAGTTATTCCTAAGACTCTGTTGAGGAAGAGTCAACTCATCTAATTATAATTAATTTGAGGTATAAAATTCAAGGCATGGAGAGTGCTATGGACTGAACTGTGTCCCTTCCTCCCCCGTCAAATTCTTATGTTGAAGGCCTACCCCCAGGTGACTGAATCTGGAGCTTCGGTCTTTGGGAGGTAACTAAGGTTAAATGAGGTCATAAGGGTGGGGCCCTAATCTGACAGGACTCTGCCTGATAAGAAGAAGATCTCTCTCCCTTTTTCTGTCTCCCCTGCCATGTAGGACACAGCAAGAAGGCTGCTATCTGCAAGCCAGGAAGCTAGTTCTCACCAGGAACCTTTATCTTGCATTTCCCAGCCTCCAGAACTGTGAGAAATAAATTTCCATTGTTTAAGCCTCTCCGTCTGTGGTATTCTGTTATGGCAGCCCGAGTAGACGAATACAGAGAAACCAATAGAATTACCCCAAAAACAGCATGGCCATCCCTCATAAATTGCCTGCTATATTCTCAATCGTAACCTTGAATGTGTACTTATGCTCCTCATCTTGAAGTTCCTCTGAAATGAATTCTGATGAACTTGGATCTGCTGTGCATAACCAGCTGCCAAAATGTGGTGATGGGAAACCATGAACACAGTGAGTTCAAATTTCCCTATAAGGTGGCTGTTAGAAAGTGACCTGTGACTGAACAGGAAGTGTGGCAAACTCAGGATCTTCCCCCATTACACTGAAAGCAATCACATGTGCTTGTTGGTTTTACCTCTGTCTCCGTGGAAATTCAACTTCGCTGTCCACTTCTCCTTCTTCCTCTTCTGAGGAGTCATCTCCACTCTGAGAACAAGGAGAAAAGTTTTATTTCTCTTTCTCACACACACATACACACACACACAGTTCTTGTAAAAGATTTAATTATCATCAAAAGACACTGAGTAGCAGCTTGCTAAGGGTCATTCACTCATTTGGCAACTTTTCCTGGGTGTCCATAATGACAGACCCTGTACTAGATCCTGGAAGACACACAGAACTGAGTAAAACGTTATCTTTGCCCTCAGGGAGGTGAAGGCTCCATGAAAATGTCCAGAGGTGCGTGATGGAGAGGGGAAACTAGAGGTCTTGGATTTTGGGGTGATCTCCTGTAATCATTGTCATTAGTGGTTCCAGACTCAGTTGACATAGAGATTCCACCAAGAAGTGATCTGTCAGTTCTTCAAAGCCCAACAACTTTTCCCCTATTACTTACCAATCACTTTTTCACTATTATATTTATTATGTGTGTATCACCTCCACTACTAAGACATACATTATTTGAGGGTCAGACCATATCTTATATTGTATTCCTATTTTACCATTAATACAATGCTGCATACAAAACAGGTGCTTAGTACATTATTGAGTCAGCATGTTGGCAGATACAAGGGAGCTCTGGTTGGGATGTCTGAGGCCTTGTGATTGCCAGGGCTCCGTGGTTGATCTGGAAGGCAGGGCAAGTGTCCTGTCTGAGAAGATGAATCTTCCCTTACAGGGAAGATTCCAACTCTCTTCAAGGGCATAAGAACAGCCACACTAAGATCAACTGTCCTTAACCACAGCATCGTGATGCACTGGATAGCTACAATCCCTTGTGAGGTGGGTAATTGGGTCCAAGTAATGGTATCAAAGATTGAGGATAATTTACTTTTAAAGTCAGTTGTAAAATACTGTCACTCTTATCCATGTGTATTCTGATAAGCTTTTTGAGTAGGAAAGACAGGGATGAAGTTACCTGGCTGAGATGAGCACTTTACCCTAGGAGTATCTGTGGGAGTGTATCTCAGGAAAGAGAAGTTGAACTGCTCTGTGGGAGAATGGTTCCAATGAAGCCAAATGTATAAGGTGTGTGTTCTGTGGCCTGCAGACCCATAGATGGCATCAGGATGATTCAAAGATACATGTTACTTGGCAGGGGACCAGGGAATGGAGTGATTCCTAAAGGGTGCAGGGCTTCTTTGTGGGATGATGAAAATATTCTAAAATTGGTTTTGGTGATGGTTGCACAACTCTGTGAATAAAAGCACTAGTTGTACACTTAATGGGAGAACTATATGGTACATGAATTATATCTCGATAAAGTTGTTATTAAAAAAATACATGTTATTGGCCATAGGTGTAGTGGGAGCAGAAAATGGATTAACCCAAATTCACTGCACCACCTGAAATGCAATTTAACATCTGAGAATTCTTAGTCAGCAGCAGCAGCACTGTATGTGGGGGAGGAAATACAGTTCTGACAGCAGCCCTCAGCTTCAACTTCTTTTCTATTAAATGTCTAGTTGACCAAAACATGCTCATTTACGTTTTACACTCTTTCATTCCTTCAACTAAACTCCTAATGAATGATGAGATGAAAGAATACTTCATATTGACTGTTTACCAGGTACTAAACACTTTTCATACATAATCTTATTTTTAACTTATTAGCAAGGCGAGGTTACATTTTTGGAAGGTTGCTATGTGCCAGGCCCTGTTCTAAATGCTTTATATTAATTAATTCATTTAATCTTCACATCAACCAGTGAGGCAGCATCCACTATTGGCCTCATTTTATAGACAAGGACACCAAGGTTCATAGAGGTTCTAAGTGGAAGAGCCTGGCTTTGAATGCAGGTCTGCCTGACTCCCAAGCTCGTGCTGCTCTAACCACTATAGAAGACTGCCTCCCAGCTAATAAACCCTAGGCAGCCAGTGGGTGAGGAGGAGAGGAACAGGATTCAATGACTGAGAACTGGCTGGGTCATGAGGGTAATGTTTTCCAAAATATACTGTGAAGTATGGTGAAATGGGTGAGGGAAATGCTGGATTACACAAGGTTACTGCATGATTTCTCAAAGCCTAGGATTTGTTACCATGCACCGGGAATCTCCTGGAGGGGACGGAAGATACTGCTTCCCAAATGGGTTTTATAATGCGATCTTTCCTTCTTGCAACATCCCTCAGGACTAGGCTAGGGTAGTGGTTTCCAAACTATTTTGATTACATTTCCCCAATACCTGGTTATTTATCTATTTATAAATTATATACATTTGAATCAGTCCCCTGGGTCAGCAGTTCCAAAGTGTATTCCCATGTCCATCACTGAAGCAGTGTTGAAAGAGTGTTTAAAGGAAAAGAAACTTCTGCTTATGCTTTTATCTCATCCTTTTACAAAATGCATATTTTATGTACGTTTTATAGTGCAAATAACATGAGAGGCTCTGACATTCCTGGAAGGCAGTGACACACACAGCTGTTGTCACTACAGCTCACCTTTTGAAGGGGCCTTGTTTTTCGAGGTAGCATTGGGGGGGTGATGTGATGAGGGATGCCAAGGGAGGATGCAGACCGACAGCCGTTGAATTCGTTTTCTTCCATTTTCTCAGAACCTTGGGCATTTTCTGAGAGGGTATTGTGTGCTGGTGACTTGAAAAGGTCGGGGCTCCTCCCCACTGGCTCAGCAGAGGGTAGGTCTAAGGACCCACACTGTTCTGGCCTGCACTGGAGGCAGGGGTCATAAGGGTCAGCCTGACAACAGTCCCAGGGGCCAGCCTGGCCGTCGTCAGGCTCAGAACTTCTCCAACAATCTGCTGCCATGGCTGTGGAGATGAGGTCAGGGCTAGAGCCAGGCAACTGTCTTTGAGCATGGTTGCTGAGTGGGCTCCGCAGGGCTGCTGCTGGGCCAAAATACCTCAGGTTGTTGGCGCAGGTTGCAATGTCCTGTCCGTGCATATTGAGTCTGGGATGGTGACTCTGAGACGTGGCAGGAGGGGGTTGCTGGTATTGCTGCTGCAGAGGATTATGGTGATGGGGAGAAGGGTATTGGGATTGAGCCTGGTCTAGATAAGTGGGATGGGCTGAATTTTCCTGGGCTGGCTGGCTTTTCAAGATTGCTGCAAAGTCACTATGGCTGCCTCTGCTGTTCCCTCTGCGGTGGCGTGGTTTGCTGCGATACCGGCTCTTGTTGCTTGAGGTGGACATTTTGGGACTTCCGGACAAAGGGGATGCAGTGGGAGCCACCTCCATACTGGGGATACCTTCAGATCGTAACAGATCTGGCCTGGGAGAAAAGAACAAGTTTGGTTTTAAACGCATGAAAACAAATTCAAGTTTGGGGAAATGTATCCCAAGCTTTAAAATACACATACCCTTTGAGTCAGCAGTCACACATTCAGGGATTGATCCAATGGAGATAATGGATGTGCACAAAGATGTGTGTTTGAAGATGTTATATTACAGTATTGTTTAAAATAGAAAGTTAGAAACAACCTAACTGTCCCCTTATAGAGGATTCCCTTTATTCCTTTTGGATTTTATTCTGTGCCCCACTAGCCAAGGTACTCAATCTCTTTTAAATTCTAATTCTGTCCTACATGTTTCTTGATCTCTTCCTCATAGTATCAGCTATCAGTCTAGTGCCAATAGGCCAAGGCATAGGCATGGCTGTTTGCCCACAATCACAAATCTGTCTGATGATGGATCTGGATAGATCCCACGGGGAGTCACAAAGGACAGAGGTCTGGTACCAGAGGAGGAAACCTCAGGTTAATTAGGCAAGAGGCTAAATTCAGGAAGTTTGGTCTAGACGGTCTCCTTGAAGGCTAGGATTATGTCACATCCATCTTTGTACGTGAAGGACACTAGCAAAGAGTCTTGCTCATAGTAGGTACTCAAAAAATGTTTAAAGGGGTGAGGGAAAGGGGTAAGGAGAGAAGAAGGGGGAAATAGTACACAGCCCAAGAGGCTGAGCAGAGCCAGCAAGAGAAGGGCTCACGAGGAGTGACGCTGGCCTTCTACCGTGCTCCTAAAGGGAGGAGGTCCTCTCACAGCCATATTTTCGAGTGCCCAGTGGGCCGGTCATGCAGATCATGTGCAGGAGGAAGCCAGCGCCTGAAAGGAAACCTTGCGCGCACCGACTGCAAGGCACATAGGTAAACAATAAACAGTTTCTGAACTGATGAACTGATTCAGGGTACCAGGCAGAATCGCTACTTCCTTCCCACTAGGGAGTAGCCTCATCCTTCTTTGGGACCAGACAGACACTGTCAGCAGGAGATTTCAGAGTTGGAGGGCCTCAATTTTTTTTTTAAGAACAGAATCCTTTTCTAAAATGAATTATTATGAGAAGCCAGTAGATAAAACAGATACAGTGGAATGGTTGAAGAGAGGTAGGAGAGCAGAAGCGCCCCCTGCAGGGCGCGCCCTCCTTGTCCTCTCTACCCCTGCAGTAGTCCCTGAGACTCTTCTATGCAAGCCCTAGGGTGTCCCAGACCTTGCCTGGAAACCACAGATACAGTCCTGCCTGCACCCTATGTGATGAGGAGCCCAAAGCCCAGCTGAAGTGGCCTATAGTCTCACAGCCCGTTACTGGTAGAATCCAGACAAGAAGCCTCTCCTAACTTCCAGTCTGGCTTATTGGATAGTCAAAGCAGAGCTTGAAAGTGCATACAAATTACTTGGGAGCTTGTTAAAATGATTGGGTAGGCCTGAGATGGGGCCTAAGAGTCTGCATTTCTAACACACTCTCAGATGATGCTGAACTGATGACCACACTTTGAATAGCCAGGGCTCATAGGAAATTAGCAGGCATTAGGCAGTAGGAGATGGGTTTCTCTTTTCCTTCAGGAGAAGTACAGTTAAAGCCTTGTCTTAGCACAGCAGTTCCAGGTGTTACTGGTTTATGAGAAGGTGGGTAGAGTATTGTGCTGCCATCAGCAGTGTCCTGTGTCGGATTCACAGTTCTATGGTCAGCTGGCCAACTTGTGCCACAGAGGTATCTGGATTGAGGAGGCCCTGGGGCTTTTACTGAGGCAAGACAGCCCTCCAAGGCCCAGTAAGTGGCATCTACCTACACAGTGACTGGCTAGGGTGGGCTCTATAAGAGAGCTGACGTGAAAGTGTCACAGTCAGGTGAAGGCTGCTTTTATTGAAGCTGGCAGTGACAAAATCACAGAATAACATTGATATGGCACTTCACAGTTTACAAAGCACTTTACAACATATAAAGTACTTGCTTCCTACTATTTCAATATCCATTTTACAGATAAGGGCACTGAGGGATCATAGAGGTTAATTGGCTTGTGTCCATTGCAAAGCTAGTAAGTGGCAGAACTCATAACTTGAATGCAAGTTTCTGGACACCAAGGAGTAGTTCTTTCCCCATTCCAAGCTTTCCTTATTATGAGGCATTTAAACTATCTTACTGGACTACACTCACTTGTGACAGGCTTGGTGGATCCATAACTGAACTCTGACTATCTTCTTTTTGGTCCCTAACCAAATACAAACTGAAACCTAGGATAAGGGTAGAGGATGGGTTTCTCCTCTCTGATCTGCTCAGAGGTCACTGGACTTCTGACTTGATAATCAATGGACTGTCCAAATAATCCAAAACTTAAATCCTTCAAGGGCCAATCAACTGAAAGCACAACTCTTCACAGCTCTAATACCCACTCCAGGTTGCCTTCTGGACAGTTCAGCTAGCATGTTGACTAAACATCTACTGGTGGTGTCAAACTCTTTCAAACATATTTCTCACAGCCAAAATAAAAGTAAACATGAGCTCATATTTTGAAAAATTAAACTATTTTCTTCCCCAGTGCTCTTAGTTTTAGCTGTAGGCAGAGCGCAGGGGAAAGCCAGCAGGTGGACTCCATCCCTAACCAGTACACCAAAGAAAGAGGTGTTGGGATTCCCAGAGCATTTTGCCAGATGCCCTCTGAAAACCATTTCTCAGAACTTGACCAGAAGATGGTCAGGCATGGTAAATAAAAGCAAAATTGGAATTATTCCATGTAGTTCCTCATTAGTAGTTTAGATTTAGCATGATGGATTTAGTCATGCTATGGTAGAATGGCCACCATTCTGAAAGCCTTAAATACATTTTGGGTTGCATTTTCTCATTACCTTTACTTTTATTGCATTTAGCTCAAGTCTCACTGTTGGGGCCACACCCCAGCTTTAGGGCTCTTTCTTTCCTTTACATTAACTTAGGATGGAATCAAACTCTCCATTGTTTGGGAGGAATGAGGCTCTGGTAGAGGTTGGTAATAAAAACTGACTGGAAGAGCATTCCAAGATTAAACTAATATAAGGAAAATGTGTTATAATTAGGGGAAAGGGCAATCTTTTTTTTTTTTTTTTAACTATTTAAAAACCTATTTTTTGAGCACCTATAATTTGCTAGGTGATTTCACATGTTATCTTATTTAAACTTCACAACAGTCCATGCAGGAGTGGAATGATGGGAACCATATGGTTTGATGCAGGTCATTATCAAAGCCTCTGCCTTTGATTTTGGTGTTGGATTTACAGGCACTTACTACGTTATTAAAAAGAACTAACTAAGTGAATAAATAAAAATGGGACATGCCTGGACCAATGTTGAATAAACCAAGAATTATAGTTAACCTACTTCTGTGCACTAGGGATCAAAAAAAGAAAAAGAAGGGGCCCAGCCCCATGGTCGAGTGGTTAAAGTTCTGTGTGTTCCACTTCGGCAGCCCAGGTTCGCAGGTTTGGATCCTGGGTGTGGACCTACTCCACAGATATTGGCTCAGGGCTAATCTTCCTCAAGTAAAAGAATAGGAAGATTGGCAATGGATGTTAGCTCAGGGCAAATCTTCCTCACCAAAAAAAAAAAAAAACGAAAAAGAAATTTCATGTGCTAGATTTATATCATTTTACCCAAGGGGTTGAAAGAGGTCAAATGACATGGCCCAAATCACACAGCTTATAATAGACAGAGCTGGGATTTGAATTCAGGTCTGTCTGGCCCCCAGTTTATTTCTCTTTTACTATTCCATGCTAAGACAATGAATATCTATGCCTCAGATAGTAAAAACTAGATTTCTTGACTTCATGGCGCACACTCTCTCACCTTTCTGCCTGTTTTATCTAGAGGCAAGTGTACTAATGATGAAGAATAGAGTGGCCACACCCACCATCCTCTGATAATGTATCTTGAGGGGGATATTTTCCCATTTATCTGCACAGTAGGTTGGTGCAGGCTCCCACCGTTTGGTCGGCATCCCCGGTTTGTGAGGCACGCCTTTCCTCTTCATGAGTTTCTCCATGGCGTTAGGGTGGATTATTGGACGGACAGGGTGTCGTTTGTAGGTCCCAGGATACTTCTTTTCCACTGCTTGCTCTCGCCTGCAGAATGAAAGAAAAAGCCACATCTCAATCACTGTAGACAGAAAAAAATGGGCAAGATGCTTTCCCAGGCTAATTCTACCCACAGACTCTGGCCACACCCAACAGATACAGGCTATTTGAATAATAAGGCTGTTATTTGAGTTAAAAAAGGGGAAAAAATATATACTAAATTCAAACTAATCTGACATCATTGTGCTCTTCAGCTCACCGATGGCATCAGAGCCTGACCTTCCCAGCCCCTGACACACCTTGTGGGAGACTCAATGCAGTGGCAGAAGTCCTACTTATTTTCAGTTGCTGTTTTGGTCAGGACCCCAGGGTTCTTTTGTCATTATCAGAATGACCTGAAATCTCTTTCAGCAGCCACTGTACCTCCCCAGTGGGCAATAAGCTCCCACTCATCCACACCAAGCTCTTCTTGGAATGAGGACCCCTTCTCTGAGGCATTCAACAGGGTGAAAATGCCTGTCAAGTGAATGTTCCTCTATAACCAGCTTCGCAGCAACTCCACTCCACAGTAAACCTCACCAGGGCCAGGGACATGTGCACAGCATATCCCTTAAGGAATGCTGGGTGAGTGAATAAAATATCTGCCAGTTCTGAGGAGCAGCAACATGGAAGAGTGATACACTCCTGCTGATTGATGGGCCCAAATCAATAAGGACAGACCGTGGGCTGGATGCATACTTAATGAGCTCCTTCTCCCGCATTTCTAGCTGCAGCATGATGGCACTCAGTTCCATGTACAAATTATTAGCCCGCTCAAGTTTTCTCTCATAGTGTTCACGAATATCCAAAGCATGCCTATCAAAGAAAACACAGGATCAGCGAAGCTGACTAATTTGAGAGAGAAAAGAGGACAGCTCTAATGAAATAAGAATCAGGACGGTTTATCTCAAAAATATTTCTCTGAGGGCTCTCTAAATTTAAGGCTCCCTTGTCTGATGCAATGACTCGGACAAGACAGAGTGGGAGATGGGAAATCTAAGCTCTCCACTTGGTTTGTCCTGAAGGGCCACATCCAGCCATACAGAATAAGCAGGAGGGCCAGAGATAAAATCTTACTGTGATCTGTGTATAATTTGTAGACTTTGTGTCATGTTGGCAATACCTTAATTAGAATACAGTATAATATACTCATATGTTAATGAAATATGCAGCTAGAGCTGACATCATGATCACTCATTTATACTTATCCATGGTATAGATCCTGCATAATATAGTGGTTATCTACAACTATGTCCTGTATCCCTTAATAAATTATAAGCATCTTGAGACCAGGGACCACATCTTATAAATTTCTGGCCTTCCATGGCACCTAGGACAGGGGCTGAATGAACTAATAGCATTGCTCCAGGAATTGGAGAGATATAATAAAGAAGGATGACAGAGTTGGGGGGAGAGGATAAGACAGCAATATAAAGGAGGGCTAACTTTTAGGGCAACTTTTAAAGAGAATAATAATAAATGGCAGAGGTGAAAGGTGTGTAGAAAGTGCAATGGTGATTCACAAACAGGGTTCCTGCTAATATCAGAAGACCTGGGGACGAGAAGAGGTGGAGAAGGAGGGGCCAGCTGACCTGAGCTCTTCTCTGCGCCTTCGAATCAGTTCTTCATCTAATCGGTGTATACAAGTTCCTTCACTTTTGATCTTCTCGAAGTGTTTCTTCACTTCTTCTCTCCATTCAGCCTGGGCGAGGACACATAAGATTTTGTTAATATCCTAGGAGTTTCAATGCCTGATGTAACCATAGGATCACGGACAAGATTTTTTTTCTGCATGCTTCTACTGAAGGCCCTTATAGAAGAGATGTTCAATGACTATTGGTGATAGCAAATGTCTCAAGCTAGTGTGTCTGCACACCCCACACCCTACTCCATCTTCTGTATTTAGTCCAATATGCAATGCTGCCTCTTTTCCAGTTTCCGTGCAGTGCTGGCCACCAGAAGCACCACAGCTGGCATACTAGCCATCACCTCTGGAAGGAAAGAGCTCACTTTTAAGTCAAGATAGTGGCTGAGATAACCTGATCAGAAAGAACAGCTCTGATAACCATATGGTACAAGCATGTGTCACTGAAAATATGATCACCTTTACAGTTGATACCAGAATTCCTCTTACGTTTTGTTTCTGAATATCTCTTGAGAAAATATTTGGAGTAGAAACTCAAGGGGCATGAACAGCAGAGATGGGAATAAAAACACAGGAATTTGGGGTGAGGGAAAAAACAGAAAAAGAGGAGGAGGACGAGGAAGAATATGGCTAAACAATTTCACAATCTGACAAAATTTTTAGGACAGGGATGGATATCTAACATGTGATTCCAGTTGTTCAAAAGGTAAGCTGCTTCCAATTTCCTAAACCTTTAGTAAAGTCTCTGACATTCACCTTGACTTTGGATGAATGTTTTTGTTTATTTGTTTTGTTTTTTAGAAATCAAGGAAAGGTGTTGCCCTTCATGTTTGGGTGAATGACAGGACAAAGACAAAGGAAGAACCACAAGATGGTAGGGATGGGGGCCAGGAATTTTTCTGTGTGTATGAGAAAGATTGTCCCTGAGCTAATATTGTTGCCAATTTTCTTCTTTTTGCTTGAGGAAGATTGTCTGTGAGCTTACCTCTGTGCCAATCTTCCTCTATTTTGTATATGGGACGCTCCCACAGCATGGCTTGATGAGCAGTGTGTAAGTCTGCGCCCGAGATCTGAACCTGTGAACCCCGGGCCACCAAAGCAGAGCATGTAAACTTAACCCTCCACCACTGGGCTGGCCCCTGGGGGCCAGGAATTTTAGGAAGGCAGAGCCAGAGTGGCCATGAAATTACAAATCTCCCAGGAATTCACTGAAGCCTTAGAAAGGATATTAGACTTTACAGGGCATAGAATTTCAAGCCATTTTTATCGAAATTTTAGGGGGCAGAAAAATCTCTGCTGGAATATGGTCTTCAGGCAGTTTCTAGAAAAACAGCTACAGGAGATGTTTCCTCAAATTGTGTATAGACTATCGTCCCAAGAAGCTAATGAGATTAAGATAATTTCCAGTGAAGACTAGATGTGTAACTAAATGTTTCTAATTGTGTAATCTTCCTCTAGATCTATTCTATTACCTTTAGATTCACGTGAAAAATGATCTCTCTACATCACGGAGGAAGTTATGCTTAAGCAATTGTGAAATTACGGAAGATTTCTCCCCAAATTTGCTGTTTCTCATTTATTTTTATAGAGGAAATTATACTGTAATTATTCAGGAAGTGATCATCCTGCTTATCTGTTTAAAATATGCTAGATCTTCATATATATGTATGTTGACTGACTATTAAAGAGAGATTTCTGTCAGTCAGCTGACCTTTAGGTGCCAAACCTGCCAAACAATGTCACCAGAAAGCCAAGATCCAGAATGTACTACCCATTGTTTGGTAATAGTCTCTGACAGTATCTAAGGAGTAAATGCAGGTTTGGTTGAGCCCCATGTAATGCTGTTCTCTCAATCAACAGATCAAAGATATGAAGTAGGAAGAGTATTTGAGCTTTAAGAGGCCAAAGATTGACAATCAAGGGTTGTTAGACCAAAAAAGAATAAGGGAGAGGGCCAAATTTGGGCCTTAATGTTTCCTCTTTTGTGCAAAACATGTCCGTGGATCCTAGCACAATACTTACAGAAGGAAGCAGGAAAAGGAATACCTCCCTCTGGTGGTGAGGAATCAGATATCACAGATGAGATTCTTTTAATTCTAGAGGAAATAAACCTCCTGATATCCATTATGGGAATGGGAAACTTAAAGAGAACCTTCTGAAGGTTGGAACCTAATAAGAAGTAGATTTCCAAAAAGAGTTTCCCCCCGTGGAGAGGGAACAGGATGTTGGGAATACACCAGGTACTGATTAATAATGTATTTTCCCCAAAGGTATCATGTTCCTGGTAGATGTTAATTTTGGAGTTCCATCACGTATACTTAGAATCTTTGTGTAATCGAGTTCCAATTTGCACTAAAGCTGCCATTCAGACACGTCTGGGCATATCTGAAGAAATGGAGGGTGGGCAAGCCTGAAGCAAATTTGCAGAGACTAAGGAGCCTCTGAGAGAAAACACGTCATGAGGGAAGGAGGATTCTTGTCTGAGTCTGCCTATAACAAAGCCACCCTTTTAGGAGTGGAGAGGCATTTCTCTTCTTTTCACTAAAATACCTGTCAAACACTGGGCCATAACCAGCGCCATTCTGTTACCTTTGACAAAGTGTAGAAACTCAACAGGGAAAGGAAGAGTGCACTGTCTGAACAGAACAATGTGCAGCTTTGGAATTGTGAGAAGTCCAAAGCTTCAGTTACAGCAAGAAATAGCAGCTCTCGGTGGGTGATGGCAGTGCCTTAAGGATATGGCAGTATCCCCTGGACATCTGTGGGGGACCACAGTCTTTTAGGAGAAAACAGTGCTAACCAATAAAGTAATACTCGGCAGATGCTAGGTGGGAGACTGCTTTGTCTAGCCAGAGTCAGTGGAAAGCAGACGTTAATAATGAGGCTATTTGAGATCCCCACTCTTCACTGGGGATTCCTTCAAAAATGTATGTGGGGGGTGGAGGGAGGGTGCTTCACAAGGTACTTAAGTCAGATGTAAGCAAGTAAGGGAAAAATCCAGTGAAACTTGGGTTATTACCATTAATGGGATCCTCTTTATGTCCCAGATAAGGCCTGGGAAAGGCTACAACATCTAGAAGGTTTCTGTCTTCTCCAGTCTTCTAGTTATTCAATCAGTAGACTGAAGCTCTTGCACCCAAACCTTGCTTCTTTTCTCTCCCGTAATATAGGTGTGTCAGATGAGGTTGAATTAAAGGATGAAAGGGTGAACAAAATGTGGTATATCCATTCAACAGACTATTATTCAGCAATAAAAAGGAATGAAGTTCTGCCAGATGCTACAACATAGATGAACCTTGAAAACATGCTAAGTGAAACAAGCCAGACACAAAAGGACAAATACTGTATGATTCCACTTAAATGAAATATCTAGAATAGGCAAATTCATATAGACAGAAAGTAGAACAGAGATGATCAGGGGCTGTGGGGAGGAGGGAATGGGAAGTTATTGCTGGGGTAATAAAAACATTTGGAAATAGATAGTGGTGACGGTTTCATAACATCGTGAATGTAATTTACGCCACAGAACTATACTCTTAAAAAATGGTTACAATGGCAAATTTTATATTATATATATTTTACCACAACTTTTAAAAAGTAAAACAAGAAGTTGAGGCAGTTCCAACCTAGCTTGAGGAATAGAGAAACAGGATGTTGGGGGGCTAAGAAGGGGGAAGCATAGATTCTGAGCGAGAAAAGCCTTAGATGTGTACGTGGTCAAGTCCAACGCTTGATTGGCACATGAGTCCTCTTTACTGCCAGGTATCAGCACCCAGCTTCTGCCTAAGCACCTCCTCACTCATGACAAGATTACTCTTCAGGCAGCACAGTCTGTCCCTATAGTGAACTTAGTGTCTCTGCAACTCCCAGCCCATGAATTTCTGGGTGGTCACAGTGGCCATCAACAGGAAACTGGAGTGGTGCAAGGTCTTAGAAGCAGGGCGCATGACCCACCTAGCAGCTGGGATCTGGGACTGCGCTAAAATGTTTTCTGAAGACTGATATCAAATGTAATTGAAACCAAGAGCAATAATTGCCTACTTGCAGAAATGGGTTATTGTCTAGGAATGAAGCAATAGCCTTGGCAGAATCTAATATTGTACTGAAATTGGTTGCTTTGTTCATCTGTTCTATATATGCTGCATCTTTATACATGTGCTGTTGATGCAAAACAGATGAAGCATTTTCTCTCAGGAAGGAGTCAGCTGGGCTCTTGGCAGCACTTTTGATTGACAGTCTGAGAGGAAGGTGGAGACCAGAGGCTAACAACCATCGACTGATAACTGATGCTGAGAGCACTGTGTCAGTAGGCAGGGGAGGCCTCAGGTACAAGACTGATCTAGAAAGACAAAACCACATGCCAAACAACCAGTTCTTCCCCACTGGGGGAGGAGAAAGTCAAAACACAATTAATAGGAGTTCCCTAGCTGCCATCTATCCATCTCAGATCCATCAGAAAAGGTACCCAGAATGTAACAACCCAAAGAAAGCTTATGTTTGTAGCTTTGTGGGAGGTGAATGGAACATCGACAGTCCCGCAGTTCTTTACAGTTTACAACAAATACACGTGCATTTTTATTGTCTCATTTGATCCTCACCAAAACTCCACAAGGAATGGAAGATAAGATTATCTTCAATGTTTAGATAAGTAAGCTGAGCTCTAGAGAAATTTAGTGACTTATCCAAGATCACAGGACAGGGATTTAGGCTAAAGGTCTGTTGTTTTTCCCAGAACTAGCTAGTTCATAAATACTTTATTATCTTTAGCCAGAGATAGTCCGAATATCAGACCCAGAGACAAACCAGCTTTTAAGTACCTGAAAAATTCTAGGAACTAGCAAGCGTAGCAGATTTGGGGCTATTTAAGGAGAGGTGAAATTTTACGTTGGGAGAATAATGTGGAAGAATGAATGAATATTAAGAGACATCCAATGCACTAAGTCTTCCCCTTCTCTTCCTTCCTCTCCCCTTCCTCTCTCTTTTATATTCGTGCTCCAAAAGAACCTTTTCTTTTCTGAATTCAGTTTGAACACTGCAAGTATAGATAAAAGTGAGTTCACATAAATGAGGGTACTGACCGTGGGGGCTGAGCTGCATTACACGGTGTTTTGCAGATGGTGGGTGCTCAGAAAATGTGGCACTGGCTTCAGAAGTGATATTCTGGGAGCACTCAGGTAAAAATCTGTTTAGAATTTGAAGTTTCCCAAGTATCTACATTTATACTGTCTCAATGGTTTGTGACTTAGCACTCTCACCAAAAACTGCCTTTCTGAATTGTGGTATGTATAGTTTTATTGTAAAGGAAGCAAAGCTGTGATTGCAACTGTATCCTAAAGTTAGAAAGTTTGAAACCATACCCTAGAGTGTACTCACTATTATTCACTTTCATTTCACAAAAGGACCTAAGTCTTTTTTCTGAATACTAACAAGAGAAGATTATTAAACAGATTTCTTATCCAAGGCCCCATACCCACATGTATTTCAATACATAGACAATAGGGTTTTTCGGGGTTTTTTTGGTGAGGAAGATTGGCCCTGAGCTAAGATCTATGGCAATCTTCCTCTATTTTGTAAGTGGGACGCCGTGTCAGCAAGGCTTGATGAGTGGTGCGTAGGTCCGCGCAGGGGATCCAAACCTGTGAAACCTGGGCTGCCAAAGCGGAGCACACGAACTTAACCACTACACCACCCAGCTGGCCCCAGATAGGCCATAGTTTTAATAGTTCTGAGGGAGTTTATCTGACTGCATACCAAAGAACATAGGAAATGGTATGAAGTCAACCTCCTACCTCCTCTGATTTTCTCTAAAATCAAACACTTTACTTACATAATAATTCCTCAGAAACACTAAAAAACTACAGGGGCAAGCCTGACTATTTCAAAACATAGTTGTGGGGAGAGCTAAGTTTGTGAATCGTGGAGAGTGTGTTGGAACTTTGGGCAACAGGATAAGAGTCTCTGATTCATCAGTCTTTAGAAACTGAAAAAAACCTTGTGCCTTTATTAAGATATTCCCCAATGTCTGATGGGTGGAGTGTCTCTCTGTTTATCAGACACCCGGGAAGCACGTACTCCCAGCCTCGGATTGGGGCAGGCAGGAAAGCATACTGGAGGATTCCTTAACTCCCAGGGATGATGATGCCCCACCCAGTCCAGTGCTCTTCTCAATACCTACTTTCCAGGTAGGTACACTCAGTACCCATTGGAGATGAGGGCTATGAGGGGTGGATTGAGACACCAACTGGAAATGAAATGTCCTCTCTGAGAATGAATCTTTGAAATGATACTGGAAGTCAATGTGGAGATGGAATTCATCTTACAAAAATTCATTTTAGAAACACAGTAACATAAAGTGAGACAAAGCTATATGAGAAAAGATTAGGTAATACTGTAGTTAAATTCTCCAAGCATAAAGCTATAATTTAGGATCATCACATTTACTTTAAAAGCTATAGTTTCATCCCATTTTACTCCTTTTGCTATTGCCTGGGCCTGGTATGGATAAGGACCTCACATATACTTATCTCCCACCACTCCCCATCCATATTGATAGTGGTTAGACCTTATGACATTTGCAGCATTTTTATTTAACAGTCACAAATTCTTCCCCTCTCTGCACCTATGCCCTTACAATATGCTGTGGCAGATTCTCTTGTCAAGAGGTAAAGTCTGTTCTCAGTCTGGTTTGGCCTGTGACTTGTTTTGGCCAATGAGATATTAGCACCATGATGTACACATTGGCTTGAAAATCTTGAGCACTGGGGCTTGCTCTCTTGCTGCACTTGTTATTGGAGAACACCATGTGAACAAGCCAAGCCCAAGCTCGCCTGCTGAAGGATAAGAGACCACTTGGAAGAGAACTGAGGTGCTCTAGTTAACAGCCAGGCAATCTCCAGACTTGTGAATGAGGCCATCTAGAACCTGCCAGCCTCCCAGCCAACCTGGCCACTGACTGCAGACATGTGAGTGCGCCCAGTCAAAGCCAGCAGAAGAAGTGCCTAGCCCAAATGGCCAAACCACAGAATTGTGAGCTAAACAAAAGCTTATTGTTTTAAGCCGTAAATTTTGGAATGGTTTGTAATGCCATAAAGGCCAACAGATAAATTAAATTATATTTTATTTGGTGCTACTGGGTGACACATAAAGTTAGAGAAAAGCTTCTCTCTGGGCCTGACTCTATCGTGGGCTCTCTCTGGGATTTAACTCCCCTCCTCTGTACTTTAGCTTTTCTACTTCAAGGAAAGCAATACTTTCACGAAGGTCAGCAGTAATTCTAATTCACATATATGTACATTACGGTTTTCATATTCTCTTTTCCTCTTTCTCTTCAACAATTTCCAGAACCCACTATGAGGATGACATTCTGATATACGTTCTTTTCAAATGAGATAATAATATATGTTAAGTGCTTAAAAAACTCCAAAATGTCATATGTGTGAGGTATCAGAATTATGGTTTCATAGTGAATAATTGATATAATTGTTATAAGAATCAGAATGGCCTCTTCTAAGAGTTACTCTTTCTCATTGAGAGTTCCTTGTCTGTCTGTTCACTAGCACATGGTAGAAAGTTTCCAGACTTACCTGAGACTTGAAGTAAGTTTCTTGTGGGGTGGCAAGTACGTCTGCGGATGCGATGTCTAAATGCATGAGCGTCTGCCGAAAAGAAGGTCGGTTGCGAGGTTTACTCTGCCTAAAAGTAAAAAAAAGACAGCTTGAGCATTTCAGAAGTAGTGTCCAGGAGGATGAAGATTTTACTCTACATTTACTGAAGCCTACTGTTTCAAGATATAACAAATTCTTTGTTTACAAACAGCTCCAAGGCTCCCAGTCTTTATACTACCAGATGATTCACTCCCAATACACATTAGAGACTTCCCTGCAGCTTTAGAGAAGTTTTAAATATGGTTTTGAGGAAGAAGGTAAAAGAGAATATCGGCAGAAATGTATTTCTTACCATGTCTGTTTCATAAGGATTTTGAATCCATCAGGGCAAGTGGAAGGAACTGGAAGGTGTAGGCTGTTGCTTCCAACACCCCAAATAATGGCTGAAGAGTCTACATCTTTGTAAGGGATCTCTCCTGTCAGCAGCTCCCAAAGCACCACTCCAAAAGACCTACAGCAGCACCAGGAACATGTACGGACGATATTTCAGGAAGACAGGTTTGTATTTTGGTTCTTTATTAATTTCTAATCAAATATGTACTCAGTTTTAAAATTCTAATACTGCTGTGAGAAAAACAGAAACAGCCAAGTAAACTCTGAAAAAAAAATCAGTGAGGGGGTAACCAACACTATCAGACATCAAGACATATTATAATGAACCCTGGTGCATGAACAGCTGGCCAGCCTAGAGGGATGGAACAGAAATACAGAAATAGGCCAAATACATACAGGGAATTGAGTACGGGATACAAGTGACATCTCAAACCAGTGGGGGAAAATCGATTACTCAATAAATGCTGTTGGGACAACTGGCGAAAAAATTAAATCTATACTTCATCTTACATCAAGATAAACTCTAAATGAACTAACGATTTAAATGTGAAAAATGAAACCATAAAAATTCTGAAAGAACGCATGGTAATTTTTTTTAAATAATGTTAGAGTGGTGAAGGCTTTTCTAATTATGAAATCCAGAAGCCATAAAAGGAGAGATTGATAAATTAAACTGCATTAAAAAAAATCTGGTATGGAAAAAAAACTCCACCATAAGCAAAATAACAAAATGTGGAAAGTATCTGTAATTCACATACACAAAAGGCTAATCTCCTTAATATACAAAATACTCTTAGAAATTGATGAGAGTAAAGATCAGAAGGCTTAGCAAAGGATAAGAATACCTCACAAATCATAAATTACAAATGGTTTGTAAACATATGTAAAAAATGTACTAGCTTACTTATAAGAGGAATGCAAATTAAAACGATACTCAACATACCATTTTTTACCTATGTGGTTGGCAAAAGTCCAAAAGTTTAACACATTTTGTTGGTGAGACTGAGAAAACATTCTTATACATTTCTGTTGGGAACATAAATTGGTATAATCCCTAAGGAAGACACTTTGGTATAATTATCCAAATTACAAATGATCCACATTTCTACTTTATCTTATTTACTCTGCAACTTTAATATATGCTATTATTCTGGTTTTAAGCTTAAAAGTTATTAGTAGCCAATTTTAAGAATGGAAGAAAGCAACTACAGGGAAATACACTGTTAATAGCAAACATTTGTAACCTCAGAGGAAAATCTGACAAAGCACATGACCATATCACAGCAAAGCACATCACTAATGTACATAATGATGGTCTGAGTCACCAAAAACAGGTAAACTTTGTTTAGTCTATTTTATTTAAGGTGAGAATTATGTAATACATTTCAGAAGGACTTTTATACTAAATGGTTATTTGAAGTAAACTTTCCAGAAAGTTCAGCATATTCTCTGAGGGTCCCAAAAACTGATGACTTACTGAATGGATATTCACTCTAATTCCTCTCCCAATCCCTCTCACCATTTATCATCAGACTGGGTAGTACCTCAGATAATAGGAGACTGAAATCAACCAGAAGTGAGTAACCCTAAAGAATATTTTGGGAAAGTAGAGTGTTGAAGGAGGAAAGTGCTAATAGGGTGAAAGTGGGAAAATGCTTTCTAGGTGGCAAAGTAGGCGCTGCTCACCATATATCGACTTTTTCAGAGACAGGTTCATTACGTATCACCTCTGGTGCCATCCATGCAACTGTGCCGGCGAAGGACATCTTGGTGCTTTTATCGCTGAGTTCTTTAGACGTACCAAAATCTGAAATTTTTACTGCATCTGTGTGAGTCACTAAAACACTTTGAAAAGAAATAAAGAAAACATCCAGATCATTAGTCCTAACGAAAACCACGACTTGACTTGGCGACTGAAGATTTTGTTTGCTGCCTCCTACCTTGTAGAATTCAGCGTGCGAGTTCCCATGTTACTGGGGCAATAGCTATATACTAGAAACAGCATAACTCATACTGGTGAGGCAGCATAGCATAGTGGGCCTTTTACACCTGGTTTTCTCCTGCCTCCACCACTTACTAACTGTGTGATCTTTGCCAAGTTACTTAATTCTTCTCATCTGGAAGATGAAGACAATTCAGGTCACAGTATCTTATCCACAATTCAAAAATGCAAAAACTCTGAAAATGATGTATAAATATTTTTTTCACATTTATAAAGCAAACACTTTATTTATCCCACATTGTGTGACTGTCATAGGTTTTGCTACAGATATATAAATGTGGCTGATTATAAAGGCGTTGCCCCAGACTTCGCTGGAGATGTAAGGTAATGCACTATGTTACTTTCCTGAAATCATTGGGCTCCAAGAGTTAGGGATACGGGATTATGGGCTTGTAATAACGGCTTCATAGAATTTTTGTTTTAATTAAATGAAGTAAGAGACGTAAAGCACACATGCTCAGTAAATACTGGTCTCCATCCTTGCTGGTCTCAGACAACCCACTAAGAAAAACACTTCTTGTAGGGTCAGCCCCGTGGTCAAGCGGTTAAGCTTGCACGCTCCGCTTCGGCAGCCCAACGTTTTGCTGGTTCGGATCCTGGGCGTGGACACAGCACCACTCATTAGGCCATGCTGAGGCAGTGTCCCACATGCCACAACTAGAAGGACCCACAACTAAAATATGCAACTATGTGCTGTGGGGATTTGGGAGAAAACAGAAATAAAACCCCCCAAACCCCGCCCCCACCCCCCCTCCTTTTAAAACACTGTTTAATCGTGGCCAACTAAAATCCGGCATGGGACATGATACTAGGGATGCACTACATTAAAGGTTGATGAGTATGCTGGGATTCCACTAATGTTGATAAGGAGAAGCAGGAATAAATTTAAGCTTAAGTAGATTCCACACAAGTCATGTTTTACTTTTCACAGTAGTTATCTGAAATGTGATGTGGGGCACACTGCTTTTGTTAGCCTTAAGATGAATACAATTTGGTAGCAGGCAAATCCAAAGTATTAACATCCTCACACACTAGATTGAATTCACTTGAAATAACCTGTTTAGAACTTCAGAATGTTGATGAGTTAGGGTTTCAGAGGCTTAATGATGTAGGGACCTATTTTTAACAATAAGAAGACAATACTCAAACTGCATCAGAACTGAGGCAGCTAGAAAACAGGAAACTTCTCAGTCTACCTCCTCCTTTCTCTGCTTGAATCAGGGACTTCATATTTGCACTGCTCCCTGCTACTGTCAAATGGCTCTCTACTTACCAAACAGCTCCGGGCTTACAATTGCTTTAGAATACCTACGTCCACATCCTACCCTCGGTTTTGCACTTAATATGCAAAATTTACATAATTTAGGAATTTTGATTTAATGGTGTTAGTTTTGGTGAAAATGTCTAAGGATTAAAATACCATGGGATATCTGAAATAATTGGAGAATTGATGAAAGTCAGAAAAGGTGATAAGCCCCTAGAAAGAAGAACACCAGAAACTTCCTCTTCTGCCTCTTTTGTGCTGCTCATTATGGGACCTATTGGCATGACAAGAGGAAATGGACATGGGAGGAGACTAGAGAAGATATGATGTTGGAACTTTTTTGAAATCTTCTCTGAGACAAAGTTGGGGTCACAGAGCCTAAAGATTTAATGTAGGTAATGAAATCTCTCTTTACAGCAAGCCAGTCTGATCTTTGTCTTCTCAAAGTCAGCCTGCAACCCAAAGAGCCAAGGCTCAGGGTGGTGCTGATAACAGGGAAAGAAAGGCTTACTGGGTAACCAGCTTACTACTCTAATCTTTAAACGACAGGAGTTTAAAGAGAGTAGTACGTGATTTTATATATTCTAAAATTTCCTGACTTCTTCCTCTAAAACTAATTCTCAAGAACAACGTGGTTGAGACCATTCAAAGGGGCCTTCCGCAAGTATTTCATGTACTTTATGTGTATGTAGCGGATGACAAAAGGAGCAGGTTGTGTTGAGAATGTGAACAGAAGAAATGAACACTATAATAAAGCTTATATGCAAATAAAGCAAGGAGGAAGCTGTTCATGAGCTAATGTAATAAACATTGTTGAGAAGTATGGTGATAAATATGAGCTCCTTTGAAGCTTATAACCAAGGACTGATTTGTATCTTCCATGGAAAAGAAACAGGATTCATTGTGAATCCCTCACCTTCACATAATGAGATAGGATGCAGTGGTCTTTGGTCTAAAAGTTCTGGGTTCAAGTCCTATCTCCATAACTTTGGGCTCTGAGCCCTAGTTTTTATTACATAAAATAAGAATAATGATACTTCTTGCATCTATCCCACACAGTTTTTGCCAAGATCAAAGCAGATGTGTTAATGGATATTAAAAAATGTTATAAACCATCAAAGCGCTATACAAATATGTTTTTGAAAAAAGATTAATTCCTCTCTGGTTCTCTAAACCAAGATGTGATGAGAAATAATAAAAATAATATTTAAAAAATAGGAGCTACAATGAAATATACCATTTTACCAATTCCTTTCTTTCCTTCACTCAATTTGGGGAACTGAATAAACACTCCTCTTAATGTGGTTATTGTTAGCCAAAGAATCATTTTGAAAACAGAGATTACTAGAAATAGCTCTGCTTCTCTTAAATGACCAGTTTATATTATTGGATGGACACTGTGAACCTTGTAACTCTTTATTTCCTTCTTTGCTTAGACTCTCGGAAGCTCAAAGCCAATAACGTAGTCCGCCTCCAATGACTGTACAGAATCTTATGGCATACACTTTGTGAACAAGCTTTAGTTCTAGTGTTTTTATTTTCTCTTTGCCTCTGTTTCATATTCATCCATTGTTATCCTGTTGTATATATTTCTGAAACTCACTTTTAAAAAAATTTCCTTTTTTGGAACACACTTGGAAAACAACAAATCAAGTCTTCAACTGGGAAAGTTTGGCAATAATTACCCGAGATGGAGAAAAATGAATTCTTCAGTTAATAATGAATTTTGTTTCACGGTTGTACAATTAAAAAGCAACAGAAAGGGGAAATTACTGTCAGGTGTCTGGACATATCTGCCATATAGTAAGTAAGTAGGTCAACAATAATCCCCCAAACATGCAGATAGAATTATCCACTATGCTGATTTAAACTGAACTGAAAGTATGATGTCTGAAAACTTCAACTATGTTGATAAAGTTCCTTATTTCAAAGCAATAAAACAAAATGACTAAAAAGTTAGCTCCAGAACTCACTTAGGTGATTTGAGATCACGATGAATAATTTTATGGAGGTGCAAATAATTCATTCCGCTTGCAATTCCCGTGGACCAGTCTACTAGCAATCGAGGCGTGATCTTCCTGCCAGCTCGCAAAACCTCGTAGAGCTGTCCATGGGCACAGTATTCCATGATGATACAATAACATGGGGCCTGAGTACAAACACCCCTTTCAAGAAAACACAAACACATATATAATACACACATACATACAAACATACGTGTATACATATTTATATTTCAAGAATATTTAATAGGGGCCAGCCCGGTGGTGCAGCAGTTAAGTTCGCATGTTCCACTTTGGCAGCCCAGGGTTTGCCAGTTCGGATCCTGGGTGCGGACCTAGCACCACTTGTCAAGCCATGCTGTGGCAGGCGTCCCACATATAAAAAAAATAGTAGAGGAAGATGGGCATGCATGTTAGCTCAGGGCCAATCTTCCTCAGCAAAAAGAGGAGGATTGGTGGCAGATGTTAGCTCAGGGCTAATCTTCCTCAAAAAAAAAAAAAAGCGTGTGTATTGTGAACAGTCCTCCTGGCTAAGGAAGGCTATAGAGGCCTCAGCAAATAGTAATCTCCCTGAAGAAGGCATTAAAAGAAAAAGAATATTTAATAAATTTAATAAAGACCAGTTCTCCATCCATATTATTATTGTTTTTTTCTTCCTCCCCGAAGCCCTGACATAGTTGTATATTCTAGTTGTAAGTCCTTCTAGTTCTTCTATGTGAACTGCTGACACAGCATGGCTACTGACAGATGAGTGGTGTGGTTCCCTGCCCGGGAACTGAACCTGGGCTGCCAGAGAGGAGTGTGCCGAACTTTAACCACTAGGCCAGCAGGGCTGGCTCTACCCATATTGTTTTTAAAATACATATAGATAATCTTTCCTGATCCTTAAGTTACCATTAAGACCCCTCTGGTCTGCAGGTTTCTCTATCATGCATACAATTTCACTTCGTTTCGGTCATTCCAGATATCTACAAGCTGAGCTGTGTCCAGCGCTCTTTCTGTGGGACCGTTCCACTCTGGGACGAAGAGCGCCCTTCCCTGAGACTTGTATAGGCTGGATCTTGTGTTGTTTTACATCGTTAAGAATAATTTAAATATCTTCCTTTTAAAATTAAATAGAAGGTTTTATGTATAGCATACAGAAAGAGAGAATGCAAATAAATTATTGCTATTTTTACTATTAGTGGTTGAATTTTAAACTACTCAAATTTAAGATAACTAACTAGACTGAGGACCAAAAAAGAGTCTATTTCCTACAGTATATAGTCTTTGAAAAACATTTCTGTTTAGAATAAAAATGTTATATAATGTATTATACATCTATGCAGCCTATATTTCCATCACTTCCTACATCTTCCATGAAGCCTTTCCTGATTATTCCAGTCTAAAAAGATCTTTCTCTTCTCTAAATTCCTATGCTACTTAGCAGCCATTAGTTTTTTACATGCAGTTCTTTTCTCTCCATACAGATTAAAAGCTCCTGGAAGGGAAAGGTCTTCAAGTTCTTTTCTTTCTACCACATGGCCTAGAAGTTCCCAGCAAGTCCTTAACAAATATTTAACTTCACCTGAACTTTCTTTACTGATAAAGCCTTCACACAAGCATGTACAGAGGCCAGAGGTAGGAGCAAGGGCACTAACGTGAAAGAACATCTATTTCTCAGGCATGTTTACATGTTTATGTAATTGTTTCATTTAATCTGCCCCAAACCGTTGTAAGACAGATATTACCTTTTCCGTTTTTACAGGTAAGGCTCAGAGAGGGAAAGTGACTTGCTCTAGATCAGACAACTAATAAAGGACAGAGCTGGGATTCAAATCCAGTCTGTCTAACTTCAAAGCCCGTGCTCTTTCCACTCACTGTGCTACACTGCCTCCCTTTTAGCTTTTTAACTTCTGTACAGACAAGCATACTGGGGATTCCTATATTAATATTGTTACCTTATACGAGTGGGAATATCTTATTAACTCTACTTCACAGTTTTGTTCTGAGGAGGAGGAAAGGGAAGAAAAATTACCATATGCAGTTCTCTGTGTCTCATCTCTTAGTGGTATGTATGCCTTCCTTCAAAACTTTCTGGAGAAGTTATGAAAATATTCTATCTACCAGACTCCCAGCTGAAGTCCTCAGCCGGCTACGAATTTGTGCCCTATCTCTTAGGCTGTTGTAAGTGATGAAAGAATTTAGAGGCCATGACTTGTGATCATGCGAAAGTCTTAACAGCAGCAGGTAAAGAAGAAGTATAATTAGGCTTCATTTTCGCTGCCTTGATGTGCCTGTCAAATGCCACAAAGCTATTGCTATTACTCCCCTATCATTTCCTAAGCTACCCAGAATTCTCATCTTGATTTTTAATGAAAAATCTTTTTCAACTTTCTGTTACTTGACTTTTAGGAAACCTCAGCGGAGCACAAGTATACAGCAACTACAAACAAACAATTTCATTTCATTTCAGAGAAATAATGACCAAGGAAGAAATAATGTAATGTGATGAAGAAGCAAAATAAATATTTGTTTGAAACTAGTGAGCATCTTATTCAACTCCGTTTGACTTGTCACACAAACATAGACAGAAAGGGTCTAACAGTGATGTTATGCACTTTTCATCTTTCTTGACTGAGGAATGAGAAGCAATCATTCCATCAGCCCTGTACTATGACAAGGCTTCTTAGTAGCTATAAATAGCAGCTCTATAATCACTTCTAATTGCTACCTTTTCTTCCCCTTGGCACTCAATTCCATTAGGAACAGTTAGGTTGGGTTTTCTTAAAAAATTACTTTAAAAAAATTGGAAGAAAAAAAGAATATAGTGTTCTTTTCTTGCACTTCCCCTTCTGTACGTGGTTCTTACTAACTTCAAAAGAAGCCATAAGCACAGAAATCAGTATCCAGAGAGACACAGTAAAATCTCATCATGCCTTCATATCTTCCAGACGGTCCTGAATGATTCATTGGCCAAGCAACACATGGCACAGATGGCTGCAAACACAACACTGCACAATGCCTCAAGAGCATGGTGTAATGGGCAGGGACACAGTCTCACTATTGTTTTCCGTGGAGAGGTAAAGACTATTCAAGCATCTTCAGGCTAAAGAGTTGGGCACCAGCAGGGCAATACTTGTTCAAAATGCTGAAAACTGCATATGCAGGTAGGAGGGGCAGAAGGGTGAAGTGGGGAAAAGACTGGGAGGAAAAAGGAAAGAAGCAAAAGAAAGGAAGGAAAAATAAAGCTTCTCACACCCATCCTCTTAGGACACATTTCTACCTTCCGTTACCCAGGACATCCTTCTGGAAAGCCCTTGTATCTGGGATTCACAGCCTAGTTCATTTCAGGAGGCCAAAAAGCCACGCTAATCTATATAATATTCAGTGTCTCAAACCCAGCATCCTAGTGATCTAAGCCTAAAAGTTTATTTAAATGGAAGGCTCTTCCTCTCATTTCGGATGATGTAGCATCCTGGAAGTGATGACCCTCTCAGTAAGTAAAATGAAGGAAAGAAGCAAGTCTCTGATAGTCTGTCTGCTTAAAAATAATCTTCCTATTGTCTCTTGAAATTTATCATCTTTGGAAAGATTATAATTGGTCTCCATAGCATTTTGTTTTAGTCTTACATCCTCCTGGCCCTACTAGGGCAACCAATGATTGAATCAGTACAGTGACTGAAGCTCTCTCCCTCATCCTCTGCATGGATGTTCCTTCTACAAGGAAATGAATCCAAGCACTTGGTTTAGTATCTCAGTTGAATGCTTCTCACCTTTTCACACCTCTTCTCTCTAATAAGGCGTCTTGTTTGGGAATCAAAACTCAACTTCAATACTCATTTAAACCCAATCTACAAAACCTGTACCCAAGGTTTCTATTCCTTACTTTGGGGATGTGATTCCAAGTAAAAATAATCATATGACATGTTTAGGTTTATAATGAGAGTTTTATTAAGAAAAGGATCTCTCTTGGAGCTGGGAGAAATTTCTCCTAATTCAGGGAAGGGAGATGTGTAAGTTATTTCACTTTTAATGTGACCTCATTGGTCGTACTATTTTGCAGGGTGGAAATATATATATAAAATATATAACAAGTTCTAGTTTCTAAACTTTCATCCCACCTAAAGGCTACCTTTCCTGCTCTTCACCTTCCCGCCTCTAAATCCACTCACCATTTATTTGTTCAAGCCTAGGGCAAAATTTGAAGGCTGGGAAAAGAGAAAACTCAAGGGAGAAGTGCAGGCAGAGGAGATTACACATATTTAGAGCTCAACACTGCCAAATTTGGTGATTTCCACAAATTTACCTTTGAGCCTCCCCCTTTTGCTAGGGATCCCTGCCAATATTATAAAAATAATGGTCTAAACCAGAAAGATATGTTCACACACTCTTGAAAACAACTACTTTGTGAAAAACAGCACGTAACTTACTATCATCAATAACTCTACTATCATTAGATTTAGAAAGCTGAGTGTTTGGCATCACTTGAAAAAGGGATCTAGCAAAACCTGAAGCACAGAGAAACACTCTGAAGGTAACTGTTATTACAAGTCAATATTTAAGAAGGCATACTAATAGAAACTAATAAAAAATACGTATCTATTAGACAGGGACTAATTATTCTCTGATCACTTCAGATGTTATCTTTGTTTATTGAAATGAATTTTAGGACGTTCAGATTATCTCGAAGTGATCTCTGACACCCTGTTAATAAATTAAGTTGAGGGGCCGGCCCATGGCTGAGTGGTTAAGTTTGCGTGCTCCACTTCGGCAACCCAGGGTTTTGCTGGTTCAGATCCTGCGCGTGGACATGGCACCGCTTGTCAGGTCATGCTGAGGCAGCGTCCCACATGCCACAACTAGATGGACTCACAACTAAAAATACACAACTATGTATCAGGGGGCTTTGGGGAGAAAAAGGAAAAATAAAATCTTAAAAAAAAATTAGGTTGATTCAGCAGATCTTGCTGCTGGGCAGAAATCCACCTTCTCTCTGTCTGTCCCATGTACATCCCTTCCAAACAGCATGCGCTCTGGCAAAAAGAATTGCTAGATTATGAAATTGTTAAAGACATGACTGTAATTTAATAGTTCTTTGGTACTCTCCCAAAGCACCTAGCACAGTGCTAAGTCAATAGAGTGTTCTTAACAGATATTTCAAAGCAGGAACTTAAATGTATATATTAGGGGGAAAGAAAATCTCTCTATTTCTTTAAAAAAGAAAAACAATGCCTTGACCTACTTGAAAGCGATGATGTTAGGGTGCTTCAACTTCCTCAAATGCTTGATATCCGTCTCATTCTGCTCTCTCACTTTCTTGATGGCCACCTCCTCCGCTCGGAACTTGCCCAAGAAGACAGCTCCTTGGGCTCCACTACCCAGCCACTGCAGCTCTGAGATCTCCTCAAATGGCACTTCCCAAGTATCTAGGCACACAAGCGAGAAACAAGCTTCAAGAGATCTCAGAATTTGCCCAGGGACCATTCTACAAGGCCACTCCGAAGGCACCAACTTCACCATCACCCAAAATGACCTCTACCTTTTGTCTCCCACCTGGTAACTAGCCAAAAGATATAATCTTTCTATGGACCCTGATACTATAGATCAGATATGCACATGTATTAGTATCAATTTTTAACCAGTGAAAACAAGCAGATCAGAGATCTCCAACACACTCTCCTCCAAACAAAACACATCCTGACTCTCCCGCAGCCCCACCTCCTCACTGCAAGCTTGCATGTTCAGTCAGTTCACCCATTTGTCTCTACACCACTATCCCTACCCTGTCAGCTATTATAAGTGTTGCTTTATTCCTCTTTGAATTTCTAGTGCAGATGCTCAATTAATCCTTGATGAATGAATTTTCAATGATACTCTCCTAAGGACCTAATTATCCATAATACTTACATAGTATTTACCTTTTATTGAGTACTTACTTTATGCCAGACACTAGCATAGTGCTTTACATATCTCATGTGTTTAAATTTTACAATAATCCTACAACTCTGGCCTTATTATGGTTATTTAAAGATGAGAAAACTAAGGCATAGGATAGTTAAGTAACCTACCCAAGGTCATATAGTTGGTAAAGGGCAGAACAGGGCCTAGAAATCCAGAATTGGCTGATTCCAGGGACAGTGCTTTCTCCACTATACCACACTGCCTCTCATGAAGTAACTGAAAGGGTCACTAGTTATGACATGCTTACCCATATAGATGCAGTATTTTCAAGTTTCTCTTTTTCTTAGAGTTTGATTTTTTGCACCAAAAACGTAACAATGGTCATTTCTAAGTGTTGGTATTATTGTTGATTCATATTATGTTCTTTATCCTTTTCTGTATTAAAAATTTTTTTACAATAGGCTATATTACTTTTATAATGAATACAATGCTACTTTAAGTAAAGCACTTCAAAAACTGCATCAATATGTGCTTTAATCTCATGAAACTTAAAAAGAATATAATCCACTGATCCTTCTCCTTGTCCCACTTTTTACCAGTGCATTATCACTGCACTGGCCAGAAATGAACATCAAAGAGCTCAGAGCCCCATGGAGTGAGGAGAAGGATGATGACAGTGTCAAAGGTTATGAGAGATTCTCATCAGATCACCCGTCGGTAAAAGGCCACTGTTTGCGGAACACTGAACAAGGTAGTGTGGAGTTAGCTTTGAAGATATTCCGGTCTTGAAGCAAATCATCTCACTTTCTACTACGCTGATGAAGCAAGAGCAGAAAGAGCTCATCAGTATCTAGCAGGGGACCACACTTCCTTCTTTTCTAATTTTCTCTACCATAAGAGAAAAGAAATTCTGTACGTTCTTAGTAAAATGTGGTTTTCCATTACAATGGTTAAAACATGACCTTCAAAATAAGCAGAAAAAATTATAGTGAGGGTGGTTTAGAGCAGGGGCATTCGTCCCACTCTTCTGATATGAACAGTATTAAAGGTGTCTGCTCTACTGAAATTCATTAGATGCTATATAAAAATAAATCTCTCTAAATACAAATAGCTCACAAATACGAAATCACCAAAGAAACAAACGATACCAAGTGAGATTTGGGGGAAAACAGTAAGTTACAGACTTCACTGTTTTCAACATCTTTATGGTTTCTAATGGCTGACGTGTATGAAGTGGCTCAAACAGTCTCACTTTGGTCCCCACAGGCTTATTGGTGCAGCTCGCACAGCACGGGAGTATTGATGACACACTGTAAGAGAGTGTTACTCATTAGGGGTCCAGAGAAGAACTGAACACAGTGTCATTTTGACCTTCTAGGGGTTGAATAAAGTCCTATTCCTGGATTCTGGGCAAGAATATAATATTTCTCTGAATAACTTTGTTAAAGTCCAAATTATGCTAATTTTTAATAAAATAACTTAAAATTAGACAATCTTTGAGTGTCTTTTTTTCTTATTTACTCAATCTTTATTTACTGTTAAATACTAGAAACATTGGAAAATATAAGAAAAAATAGAAAAACACATATTTTATCTGAAATCCCATCCCATATTCAGTTTTCATCTTCTCGCCTAGTCTTTGCTCATATGTATACAGTGATGTAACAGCTGTGTGGGATGTAGATCAGGAGAACAGATTAGCGGTTACCAGAGGAGAAGCAGACGGGGCATAAAGGGACACATATATATTGGGATAGATAAAAACTAGACTAGTGGTGGTTATCACGATGCAATCTATAAAGAAACTGGAATATAATGATGGGCACCTGAAATTGACAGTGTCATAAGCCAATATGACTTCAATAAACAAACAACAACAACAACAATAAACAGGTCTGTGATTGCACTGGGATGGGGTAGCAGAGGTCAGAGGTGAGAGAAAGGGACAGGAGGAAATTTTGGGCAGTGATGGATATGTTCATTATCTTGATTGTGGCAATGTTTCAAGGGTATATACATATGTCAAAATTTATCAAATTGTATACTTTAAATATGTATAATATATTGTAAATCAATTATACCTTAATCAAACTGTATCAAACAAAAAAGTTGTCTGTGATGTATAGTTTTTTCTACTTTTTTGTGTATTATGTATTGAGTTTTTATTATAAGCTTTAATAATTGTTTACTGTACCCTCTTACCTTTTTTTGTATTTAAGTTTCCATATTTTCGTTTGCTAATTTAAATTTGACATTTTTTTCCTTCTTTATATTATTTCCTCAAGCTTAATCCTTAGGTTAAAGAGTACAATTTCCTGGCTCTTGGTATATATTCCAATCTGCTATCTAAGAGGATTTTGCTAGTTTTTGCTGATGGAAGCAACATAGGAATTTGTCCCTTTTCCTACAACTTTGCCAGCAATGAATATTGTCAATTACTTTTTAGTGCTCATTTAATTAGGTATAAAATAATGTTTCATAAGTTTGCATTAATTTGCCAGTGATGTAGAATATTTTCTCTCCATTTGTTTTAATACTCACATCTGCTTTGTATGAATTGTTGAATTTATCCTTTGTCCATTTATCTATTAGGGTCTTGTAGTTGTCACAAACCTGAAGGAGCTTTCTTTCTATTACTTTGAATGCATGAAAGGACTATTTTATAAAAGCCTTTTTCTTTCATTATTTTTTGAACAAAATATTTTTATAGTCACCTGTCATTTCTTTTGTAATTTCTTCTACTGCCTAATCTATCTTCTAAGAGTGATCTATAGTTGATTTCTTAAAAGTTTAATTAATAATTCAAAGAGACTTATGCACCCCTATGTTCATTGCAGCACTATTCACAATAGCCAAGACGTGGAAGCCACCCAAGTGCCCATTGACTGATGACTGGATAAAGATGTCGTATGTATATACAATGGAATACTGCTCAGCCATAAAAAAGACGAAATCATCCCATTTGCAACCACATGGATGAACCTTGAGGGCATCATGTTAAGTGAAATAAGCCAGATGGAGAAAGACAAACACCATATGATTTCACTCATATGTGGAATATAAACAAACTTACAGACAAAGAGGACAAATTAGTGGTTACCGGGGACAGGGGAGTGGACAGTGGACACAAGGGGTGAAGGGGCACACTTATAAGGTGTATGATAAATAATAATGTACAACTGAAATCTCAGTATGTTATAAGCTATTATGACCACAATAAAAAAAAAATTTAACCCTTACATCTAGCTGGAGTTTATCTTGGTGTATTATGTGAGGACAGATGTAAATTAAATTTTCCATATTGTTATTTAGTGATTCCAAGACAATTTGTTAAATAACCCTTTCTTTTCATGTCATTTTATAATGCTTACATTGTAACTTATTATCTTTTTTATAAATATGCCTTTTAGTATTTTTATAAAATGAGAAATAAATTATTAAAATACAAATGATAAATATATTTGGTACTCACATACCAAAGGCTGAAGATATTGTCATAAGAAAATATCCCTCTACGAGCAGTAGCTCATGCCTGTGTTATTCAGCTATGTTCAGTCAAGTCTTAATTATCCATGGAAAAATGTAAGGGATAGCCTTGGTAATTCAAGAACACAGAATGTAAAAGAAAGTAGTACTTAAACACCTTCCCATCAATCTTTTTACTAGAACTGATTACCAGAAGTAAAATTGATCGATGTGATTTAATCCTCTCTGTCCTGTCCCAACATCCAGGAGGGAGCCAAGGAACAGGAAAACATCAGAAAAAGAACATTAGCAATAAGGATGTGCAAAATTGGAGGCCTAGATCACTGACGAGCAAGATAACTAACCTCATAATAATAGAAACGGCTGTGCTCTCTCCAGGGTTAGCCCCAGACTTTTTGCTGCTTTTACATCTGTCCCACGGGTACTCTTTCCCAGCTTTTATCTTCTCTCTGACTCATCCTATGACTACTGTCTTAATTCCAATATCCACCATGATCCCTAGGACTGAGAAAAAACCACATGCCCACCCACTTTAATGCATAAGTTCTTCTTTGTTTATTCATACACGTCTATGACAATACTTGCTTTGAGACTAGGAACTATTTGGCAATAAAAGATGCCAATTACACATACTACCTTACTTGGACTTCACTACCAACATACTAAATGGGAGATGAAGACATCATTAAAATTTTTTAAAAATCTAGTGAAATTTCCTCATAAGTACCAAATGCAAGCACACATCTGTTATATGTGCTATCCTGTGGTTGACTATAATCCAGGATTAAAGATTAGCTCCCTGATCCCAGAACTGACAAGGAAAAAACTACACTTAGTTTCTGGCTAGCAAACCTCCTTCGTGGCCCACAGCAACACCAGCCCACAGTAAGATTCTTGTCATCTGCTGACGAGTCAGGCAGCTGCTGTACCCTGTAAGCTTAAGCTGACCAGGCCTGTTTCTTATTTATTCCTGAAATAAGCCTTTCTGAAAGTCACAGAATCAAGTGGAAGACAAATTAAATACAAGTTTATAGAACAACAAAACAAATTTTTAAGCCTCCTTTCAACAGATACAGGATGTTATTTCTCTTTATGAGTCTCAACCTCAATGTTGCATTTAGATCCTGAGACCTTCAAATTACTACCAAAATAACTGAGATTAGACAAGTTAAGACCCTAAAAACCAAATGTAGTTTATTGCACAAGTAGATATTAGTAGGTTTTGTGTCTAAGCAGAGAAGAGGAACTTTCAAAAAATAATAAATTAAGGGTAGTTATCTCTGGTTTGGGGATGACAAGTGATTTTTATTTTCCTCTTTGTGCTTATCATTATTTCCAGTTTAAAAAATAATAATACTGTTTAACATAGGAGTCTCCAACCTCTTTGTGACAAGGAATAACTTTTTAATTTCCTTGAAACCTTAAGATCATGGAGGGGAAAAACGAGTGGAATGTGCAAGGTATGAGAGTATGCATGAAAGAGGGAAAGATGGACAGACAAAACCCAGGGACTGACAAAGAATTTCTACATGGAGCAGGGATGAATGCTGTGGTCGACAAATCTTGAAAAGTATACCTGGAATTGATAGATTTGTCAGTAAATCCCAATACATTTGTGGGGAAGGGAGAGAGGGAAGTTGGTATTGGTTTAGGAGAAAGTATTTCAGAAATAGGAAAAGTAGAATCCGTGAAAAAAGTGGTTAATGGTGACTGATGTTGATTGGCTGTTGTGGAAAAGCTGTCAGTAGTCTTGACTAAAAGAGATGAATAATTTTTAAGGGAGGGTCATAGACTCCAACATTGTTATAAAACAAACAAAACAATCTCATTTCTGGTCCATGGTTTTCCTTTCCAGAATTTCTTGATGAGATAACTCATAACAACGGGATTATTTACATAAGGCTACAAAGATATGCATCAAAAGCCTTAAAAACAATAAACCTTTTGAACTCAACCACACTTCTTCTAGGAATTTATCCTAAGGCGTAAACAAAGATGTGTGCGAAAATTAAATAACAGACAGATTTTCGTTGCAGTGTAGCTTATAATCACTAAAAATAGCAAGAAAAGTAAGTGTCAAGGAATAGAGTATTGCTTAAATAAATATTGGCACGTTCACATAAGTTAATATTATGCAGCCATTAAAATGATGCTGAAGAAATATATTTCACGATATGGGAAATGTTCATAATATGAAGTAAAAAACTTACAAAACAGTATGATTATTTTTTTAAAGCACACACACACAAATAGACTAACGTGATATATACCAAAAACATTAGTGGTGGTTATTCTCAGGAGACTGGGAATCATGGATTACTTTAACTATTTTTTGGAACTTGCCTGTATTTTCCAAATTTTCTACATGAATTACTTTTGTTATCAGGAAACAAAACTTCTTTTAAAGAACATAAGTAAAGTTATAAAGAACATTAGGGCCATGTGTTTTCTTTGCTTCAAAAGCATAGGGCTTGAATTGGACTATATGAATATACATGTTACACAACGATGGGAGCTAAAAATTTACTTTTTAAAAAGCTGTGGAATCTAGAAATAATAAAGCTTCTCAAGATTGGTTAGATATTTTGTTTTTTTTCTCAAAATGTGAGCTTTCTGTGCCATGTCTGTAAGAAGATAATTCCTTTTTACTAACCTAAGACAGGTCTGCAATCTTCAGGCTTCTGTCTGATTTTGAATTAGTCCAGTGACCATCAGACTTTCTGATTGTACAAACTTTCAATAAAAAATTTTTAAACAGGCACTCACTATGTGATTTTTTAATAAATTATATAGCTGTACAACTTTATTAAAATACCAACTATATATGAAAACATGCATGAAAATAGAAATTGTAAATGATGAGATAAAAGGAATAGGAGCTCTAACATTTTCTTCCTCATAACGCCATCGATTGTCTTAAATGTACTCTACTTTGGACACCGCTGGACTGGACAACCACAAAAGATGGGCTTTGACTAAAAAAGACTCAGCAAATGTGAATCTGTTCCATTCACAAGGTCTATAGGAAATGGATATGGGGTATTCATCTGACCCTAGTTCTTTAATTTATCCACAGGTCAAAGGTTATCTAGTTAATGATGGTGGTGTGTTTACACAGGAAATACCTTCCAGGTCCATACTCTAGCTTACCTTGTTGCTGTAATTTGTAATCAGTGGAATATGCCTTCCCAATGATATTCCAGACAGGCCTTAAGCATCCAAATAGTCCTTCAAGAAACCCACCACTGCTGCTGCCCGACCTGCTGAACTGAATCTTGATGTCTTCAGTTCCACTCGTGCTCTCTCCATCCACAGTGTTGCTGTTCCCCTGAGACATGGCCATCTCTGATTCATCTTGTTCCCTTAGCTGAAGGACACTGTTCTCAAACTGGTCCCTGGAATCCTCGCTTACACTTGTCAACACTGTCGTGGTGATGGGGCTGTTCATGCCCTCAGTTAGCTCTGTTTGCACCACTCCCTTTTCCTGTTGGTCCTTAAGGAGCTTGGGTGAAGGGTGGCTCCCCATTGGTGCGAGTTCATCTTGTAGTCCATTGAAGGTTTTGTTTTCACTCAAGGGTAAGTGTGGGGAGGAGGAGCAGCTCAGGTGCTCCTGAGGGTCAGCCATCGTGCCATGGGTATGCCCAAGATCCTGAGATGACACTCAGAGGATTATTAGAACAGAGTTCTGATGTAAGAGAGGGCTCCAAAACCTGGGGAAAACAGGAGGAGGACATGAGATCACCTTTCTTTAGTCAACCGCACTACCATACTTCTGTTTATAACAAAAACATTGAAACAATGAGGACTGGTTAAACAGTGGTATATATCCATATGATGGAATACTGTGCAGCAATTAAAAAGCATGTTGTAGAAGAGTGTTTACCAACATGAGAAAATGTTCATGACATATTAATATAAACAATAGGGTAGAACAATATATACAACATAAACTGTTTTTAAATTTTTTATTTAAAAGGATACAAAAACAAATACAAGAAAAAAGACTGGAAGGATACATCTGAAGAATTAACAATAGCTAATTCTAGGTGGTTAGATTTGGGAGGGGTTTATATCGCTGTGTTTTTCAAGATATTCCAAGCATTCTGTATTAATGTGTTGCTATAGACTGAATGTTTGTGTCTCCCCAAAATTGAATGTTGAAACCCAATCCCTATTGTGATGATATCTGGAGGTGGGGCGTTTGGGAGGTAATTAGGTCATGTTGGTGGAGCCTTCATGAATGGGACTAGTGTTCTTATAAAAGAGACCCCAGAAAGCTCCCTTTTCTCTTCTGCCATGTGAGGACACAGTGAGAAGGTGGCTATTACGAAAAGGAAGTAGGCCCTCACCAGATACTGAATCTGCCAGTGCCTTGATCTTGGATGTCCTAGCCTTCAGAACTATGAGAAGTAAATGTTTGTTGTTTGAGCCATCTAGTCTATGGTATTTTTGTTATAGCAGACTGAACAAACTAAGATATATGTATTACGTTTATAATCAGAAATAAAAAATTGTTTCCCTTCCCAAAGAGAAATTAAGTGTTCTGATAAATATATTTTTATTAGAAACTACATTCTGTGTTATTAGAAATCACTGCTCATCCTTCTCTTTGCTTTAATGTCTTATCCACTGGTACATTGCTTTACTTTCTAAGGCATTATTAAGTCATGTAGATAAATGTCTTATGTGACAAGACAAATTCCTAACATATAAAATTTGTTTTTACTGTACTGCACCAAATCTGGGGCAACATAACTAAGCTCCAGCTCTTTAAACTTGTTCTTTGCTTCTGATCTGTCCATTAGCACCAATTTCTCAGAACTACCTAATCTCTGAAAATAAAGACATGGAATTGTTCTAGATTGGCCAGATGATGCAAAGTCAACCTTAAATTTATTCAACATATGACTCTTATCAGAAATTTACTTTTTTTGCAAATCCCAAAAAACAGTTCTTCTTTCCTTCTCACTGTATCAAGCATCTAGAATGTGTTAGAGGCCTGGGCATGAGGATGATCTCACTTTGCAAAGGGAACAAAAGACAGACCAATAAAGATTGACAGTACAGTGCTTACAATAATCAACCAAGGGCTCTGAGAGCACAGAAGAGGGAGGATTAGTTTCAGGGACAGCTGCCCAAAGGTGGTAACCATTGATCACTTTGAAGGAAGTGTAGAAATTCATCAGTCAGGCGGGAAAGGGGTGAGTGAAAGAAGAGGGAGAGGGTACTACAGGTGTGGGGAAACTATGAATGAGGGCATGGAGGGATTAAAGACTATGGAACAGACGAGAAATCTAAATGACTGGAATGTAGATTATATGTGTGTGTATAGAGAAAGGTAAGGATAGAGATGAAGTCAGAGGCTAGATTGTAAATAGCTTTGTAAGCTAGGCTAAGAGATCTGGATTTTATCTGGGAGTTGATAAGGAGTCAAAGTATCCTATACTGGGGGATAGGGATAAAAATAAACCATCCTTATTTTACTAATTTCTTATCTTCATTACTGAGACCCAAATTTTAAGCTTTTTTAAAATTTCCATACCCTACGACTAATTTGTGTGAGTGAACCAATGAAAATACTCAATCCTTTGAACTCTTATTCATTCACTTAAACCCTTATTGAGCTCCTATTACATGCTATACAATGTATTAGGCATTAATGAATGGTACATAGGTTCCTACACTTTAGGAACTTACAATTTGGAGGGAAAGACCAATAGATAATAACAGCCATATGGCTAGACATGGTACACAGACATGTACAAGGTGCTGTGGGAGCTCAGAAAAATAAACATCAAATATGTCTACAGATGTCATAGAGGAAATTTTGTTTGAATTGGAGGGTGAACCAGTGATCACTAAGAAAGTGAGACTAGGTATTCCAGGTAGTATGGGGGAGCAGCAGGCGATAGTTCTTATTAAAGGTGGGCAAAGGTCAGAATATGGTGGATCTGTATGACAAGCTAAAGCTTTTGGATTTTATTCTCAAGAGAACAGAGAGCCATTAAGGAATTTTAAGTGGAAGAGAGATTTGGTCAGATTTGTAATTTAAAATCACATCTACAGAAGTAGAAGTTGGATTGAAGGTGAAGATATTAATGAGGAGCAGGAGTTCAATAAGAAATGATGAGGGGCTGAATCAAGGCAGTAGCAATGGCAATGAAGAGATAAGAGGTAGACTTGGAAAGATCTAGTGATTGGTTAGACATGGGGGTGGGTGAGGAAAAGGGAGAGGAAAGGAAGACTTTCAGAAAACTTACTTGGGATAATGCATAGATGGGCAATGCCATTAACTGAGATAGGAAATATCAGAAGAAAAGAAGGTTTGGAAAGAAGGTAATTAGCTCACTTATGGACATAGGGAGTTTAAGGCCTACTGTGTGTGTGTCATGCACTGAACCAGGCTTTTATTTATGTTATCTGATTTTAAAAAGACAATTTGAAGAGAGAGATTTGAAGAGAGGTAAAGATGGAGGCTCCTTTAGCTCAGGGGCAGAAGTATCGAAATAACACGAGTGAATCCAAGTAAAATTAATAATGTATTTATTAAATATGTGCTAGGAGCTCTGCCATGCACTAAGCTAGGTTCTGTCGATGCAGAATATTACTACTGTTACCATCACTACTTCTAAACAAATAAGACCAAGTGCTGTACAATTTCCAGAGCCTTGTTTACATAATCAGCGATGTGCTGGGAAATCACCTCTCCAGAAAAAAACCCAATGGTCCGACTTGTAGTGTTTGCCTATTTACCTGATACAACTATTCCTACCATGGCAGATCTGAAGCTAATAAGAGTTTAACAACCTACTTGCCAAGTTACTGAATATTTCACAATCGGTTCTTACAAATCGGTGTATAAGTCAGCTCCAGCACTAATAATCCTTGTAAGAGTTTCATTCTCATTTTACAGAGAAGGAACTTTTCTAAGGTTATATTTTGAATAAATGGTAGAGCAGAATTAAAATCTAACTCAAAATTCAGATCCCCAAATTCCCTTGCCTTTTTTACAACATGATGGCACCTCTTATGATAACCCCTCACTTTCTTAGAGTGCTTCACAGGTTAAAAAATGCTGTTGCCTATGATCTTGATCCAAACATTTGATCCCTTGTATAAGGAAGCCAGAGTATGGAATCATTATCCCTGTTTTTCACAGAAGGACACTAAGACCTAGAGAATGCATAGAGCCAGGATTGAATACCAGGTTATTTTTCTTTATCCTAAAACTCTCTCCTGTACCATGTACCATGCAGTCTCTGTAAGACACAGTTCCTTCCTTTCAAAGCTTACAAACTAGTTAAGGAGTTAATAATTACATTGGAGGAATTACCTTCTGTCTGCCCGCTCTCCCCGCTGTGTCATATTCTGTTATACATTGCTGGGAGAAGGGAAACAATGACGGGCAGGATCAGTCAACTGAGCTGAACGAAAGAGGTAGGACTCGAGATGAACCTTTGAAAGGAAGATGTGTTTGAGACTGACAGAGGAAAGGAAGACAGGGAAGAACAAGAGCTTTAGCAGAGGCAGGGAAGAAGAAAAGACCAGGGCATGTGGGAGAAGGTTGGTAACCCAGAAATAATGAAATAGCTGCTAATGTTTGGTATTTCCTGTCAAAAAAGGTAACTCCTGCCTTCACATAGAGACCTCTGAAAGCTCATGAAATAATGCAGTGTCTTCCCTTTAAACAAATCAGAAATGACTTTAACTGGATAAGGGTGGGTTAACAGGGACTTAAGTTCTCAGGCATGGAGAAATTTAGGGACTGGGATGCTGCCTGGGAATGTAAGCTTGGGAAAAAAGAAAGAAAGAATGAGAAAGAAAAGCTGGACCTATTTGTTACAGCAATAGCTGTTTGCTGAACTGACCTTCATTCCCCCCACCTCATCCTCCCCATCCCCTTCCTTTTGTGCTCGTCTCTAAGCTTTGACATTATGAATCCCTCATTTTGCTTTCTTGCTGATTTCCTGCTACAACCTGTCTCTCACTGTCTATTGCCTTTGGCTTCTCTGACTTTGCTCTAGACGATGTCTTTTAAGACTGCTGACTTCATACTATGTGACCTGGCCACTGCCTCAGCAGTCAACTTCCAGTCTGCCTTTGCCGTTGGGACTCATGGTTATCCCATACAGCACAGGGCACACATTATGCTATCGGCTCACATCAGACTTGAGGATAATGCAAATACCCAAATGTATATGTGAATTTCAGCCACCCACATATTTGTGCGATTTGTTCTTTGAATCAAACTACAGGACTTTATATTAATTCCTGGTAAATTTCCATTGTGTCCATTTTTATCCTGACTTTCTCCCTGATGATATCATACTGAATCGGTTCATAGAGAAAAAGTTAGAAAAACAAGTGTTTGTTTTATAATCTCTCTATTTCTAAGAGGTTAAGGGTGCACATGAAGTGGACTTGTTCACATTGGCACTGGGAATGAGCCTAAGGAAGAGAACTTCAGCAGAGTCATCACTTCACTTTGATATTTAAGACATCAAAGAGTAACAGGACCTTCAAGGAACATGGTCCAACCCACCTGTTTTACGAATCAAATGAGAATCAAATCCCAGAGAGATTGCTGACTTGCCCAACAGAACCACTAACGAGTGGCTGAGCTGGGATGAGTCCTCCTTCCTCACGCTATGCTCGTCCCCTAGTCTGGTTGTCTGTTTATTCAAAGAGAAACAAATAGCCAGGTTATCAT